CTTGAATAGATCCGAGCAGGCAGGCATAGGTAGTAGCATCGAGTGTAATACCGAAACTACATAACCCATCCAAGCCGGCTGACTTGGCCGACAATCGCTATTTAGGAGGGCTGCTTATCTCAGCCGGTCTTAGCTGTGCTAATGTCTCCTGGCCGAATGTGCTTTAACACGTAGACACAATAAACGTGTACGGTATGGAGATAGGGACGCTTGCTACGTGGCTTTACCGTGACGAACAACGGGCACAAAAAGAACTTCCGGCCAAAGACGGGAAACAAAGGGATGAAGGAAATCGGTGATACGAAATCGCTGGCGACATACAGAGTGAGTGAATTTTGGAACTTGAGAGATTGGAAATTTGGGAGATTTGGAACTTGGGAGATTTGGAACTTGGGAGATTTGGAATTTGGGAGATTTGGAACTTGAGTGATTGGGAATTTGGGAGATTTGGAACTTGAGTGATTGGGAATTTGGGAGATTTGGAACTTGAGTGATTGGGAATTTGGGAGATTTGGAACTTGAGTGATTGGGAATTTGGGAGATTTGGAACTTGAGTGATTGGGAATTTGGGAGATTTGGAACTTGAGTGATTGGGAATTTGGGAGATTTGGAACTTGAGTGATTGGGAATTTGGGAGATTTGGAACTTGAGTGATTGGGAATTTGGGAGATTTGGAACTTGAGTGATTGGGAATTTGGGAGATTTGGAACTTGAGTGATTGGGAATTTGGGAGATTTGGAACTTGAGTGATTGGGAATTTGGGAGATTTGGAACTTGAGTGATTGGGAATTTGGGAGATTTGGAACTTGAGTGATTGGGAATTTGGGAGATTTGGAACTTGAGTGATTGGGAATTTGGGAGATTTGGAACTTGAGTGATTGGGAATTTGGGAGATTTGGAACTTGAGTGATTGGGAATTTGGGAGATTTGGAACTTGAGTGATTGGGAATTTGGGAGATTTGGAACTTGAGTGATTGGGAATTTGGGAGATTTGGAACTTGAGTGATTGGGAATTTGGGAGATTTGGAACTTGAGTGATTGGGAATTTGGGAGATTTGGAACTTGAGTGATTGGGAATTTGGGAGATTTGGAACTTGAGTGATTGGGAATTTGGGAGATTTGGAACTTGAGTGATTGGGAATTTGGGAGATTTGGAACTTGAGTGATTGGGAATTTGGGAGATTTGGAACTTGAGTGATTGGGAATTTGGGAGATTTGGAACTTGAGTGATTGGGAATTTGGGAGATTTGGAACTTGAGTGATTGGGAATTTGGGAGATTTGGAACTTGAGTGATTGGGAATTTGGGAGATTTGGAACTTGAGTGATTGGGAATTTGGGAGATTTGGAACTTGAGTGATTGGGAATTTGGGAGATTTGGAACTTGAGTGATTGGGAATTTGGGAGATTTGGAACTTGAGTGATTGGGAATTTGGGAGATTTGGAACTTGAGTGATTGGGAATTTGGGAGATTTGGAACTTGAGTGATTGGGAATTTGGGAGATTTGGAACTTGAGTGATTGGGAATTTGGGAGATTTGGAACTTGAGTGATTGGGAATTTGGGAGATTTGGAACTTGAGTGATTGGGAATTTGCGAGAGATTTAAAATTTTGGAGATTTGGAACGTGGAGATATTGGGACTTGGGAATATTAGGATTTGGTGTACAAGGTTTTCACTACATAAAATCTTTTGGGGTGAGTGGCAGTGAACGTTATGGGAGAAGGGATACACATGGTGAGGGTTGTAGGAAGCAAGAATGAGGGAGCTTGCATTAAATTAATTTATTAATTCTTGCTTTTTTGTGCAACTGTAAAATTCACAAGTAAAAAAGAAGGGTGTTGAGTTTTGATAAAGTCAGAGATCACATGTGATCACATACGTTCACTTAGTGTGTATCATATGTGACATAGTGTTTACGTATATATTTAAGGTGGTTCAAGTTTGCACCGATTTTGCAATACATTTCATATGACAATGAGTTCATTTAGGGTTGAGAACATATGTGACGATTTAAATCAATTTTGATCAACGTGATCCATGAGATTGTTTATAACAATTTAAGTCGACTTAAGGTAATCTGACTTGATTTTAACTGAGTCTGAATTTGTGAAGATGCTAGTTAATTTAATCTGATCTAAGCTAACTTGTAATCTGAAGCATCTAAAAACGATTTGACTAGACTCGAAGTTGCAAGGCAATTTGCAACGATCCGAAACATCCCCCGAATAGGCAATTTAAAGACTGTAAAGTTGAACAAACTGGTCGCACGAAACTGAGCAAGAAATAGGGCGATTAAGAATAACAGAGGAAGAGCCGATACACGGGGAATGAGTAGAGTCACGGAAGTAGATAAGAAACGAAATTAAAATGAAACGAAGCAGAAAAAGGGGGAAGTAGTAAGAAAGTGAAATATCAGAAAGAGCCGAGAGGAAAAAGGTAAATGGAAGCCGACGGTAAGACTTTTCTCGTGCAAGATAATCATGTATTCGCGAACTACGTTAAAGATTTCTGGAGGATGGGTTTCGCGAAACGACTGCGAATGTTTAGGATAACTACGGTCATTAACGTTGCTCGAGCTTATCTAAGGAACGAGCACGAGTTTAAGCCGGGCAAGAACGAAGAGATTGTATCTCCGTGTCATCCAGAACAGGTCGCTGGAAATCCCGGAATTAGCATAATTATCGTAACGGTGGAACCGTTCGTTCGGCAGGGACGAAATATCGTGTCGGTGGTTTGGTGTTATTAAAGATAATTCTGAATCCCGTCTCGGTTTATTGGAAAATGTCGAGGCCAATTATTGCACGGGACACCAGATATGAATAACGCACAGAGTTTAGGAAATTTCGCGTTATCTCCGCTGTTTGAACGCTCTCCTGTCGCGTTCAACATGCTTGTTTTAATTATTCTGACGTACTCATATCTTTACGTACACTACCTTTCGATGACGGGTTTAGGGATGAAGTAACGATCGGTTGATTCCAATAATAGATTTTAGGGTATCAGATATTTTACTCACTTCTACTTTCAGCTGAATTTATTAATTTACAGAATGTAAATTGAATAACTTTCTATACTACAAAATCTAAATCTCCAAAACTCTCGAAAATTGATGGTGAACGTGATTGAAGCATAGTTCTAATGGAACGCTCTCCAGAGGTTGTACGACGTAATCGCATTCAATGCTACGATAGTGCTCTCCATTTTGTTGTCGATGATTGAACGTTTCAGGAGAAAGTTGCTCCTGTTCCGGTGACAGGAACTCGGCGATGTAAGCCGTGAACCCTGATCCAAACTTTATTCTCGTTATCAGCAGTACACGGTTCAGCGAAAGTTCTGCTCTAGATCTTTCGTTTAGCGACAACTTTAATAATTAACCCCTTCGGTGATTCATTAATCTATGAACGTTGTTAAAAAAATATGACTTTGACGTAAACAGGGCAGGATTATAAGTGCCCATCTTTAATTTAACTATAAACTTTTAATGGTGGGATGTATGTTCAGATTGAAATTAAAAATGGAGGTACAAGATGAATATACATAGGTGAATGTACATATAACAGAGTACTACACATGTGTAGAGTCTTAAACAGATACATGTCTTAGATACATATATGTCTTAAACACACACATGTCTTACTTAGACACATACATGTCTTCAACACATGCATACAGTCTTGTACACATACGTGTTTTAGACACATACATGTCTTAGATACATACATGCTTAAACACATGCATACAGTCTTGAACACATACATGTCTTAAACACTTGCATATAGTCTTGAACACATACATGTCTTAGACACATACATGTCTTAGATACATACATGTCTTAAACACTTGCATATAGTCTTGAACACATACATATCTTAGACACATACATGTCTTAGATATATACATGCTTAAACACATGCATGTAGTCTTGAACACATACATATCTTAGACACATACATGTCTTAGATATATACATGTCTTAAACACATGCATGTAGTCTTGAACACATACATGTCTTAAACACTTGCATATAGTCTTGAACACATACATGTCTTAGACACATACATGCTTAGATACATACATGTCTTAAACACATACATGTCTTAAACACATGCATATAATCTTGAACACATACATATAGTCTTGAACACATACATGTCTCAAACACATGCATATAATCTTGAACACATACATACAGTCTTGAACACATACATGTCTTAAACACATGCATATAATCTTGAACACATACATATCTTAGACACATACATGTCTTAGATATATACATGCTTAAACACATGCATGTAGTCTTGAACACATACATGTCTTAAACACTTGCATATAGTCTTGAACACATACATGTCTTAGACACATACATGCTTAGATACATACATGTCTTAAACACATACATGTCTTAAACACATGCATATAATCTTGAACACATACATATAGTCTTGAACACATACATGTCTCAAACACATGCATATAATCTTGAACACATACATATAGTCTTGAACACATACATGTCTCAAACACATGCATATAATCTTGAACACATACATATAGTCTTGAACACATACATGTCTCAAACACATGCATATAATCTTGAACACATACATATAGTCTTGAACACATACATGTCTCAAACACATGCATATAATCTTGAACACATACATATAGTCTTGAACACATACATGTCTCAAACACATGCATATAATCTTGAACACATACATATAGTCTTGAACACATACATGTCTCAAACACATGCATATAATCTTGAACACATACATATAGTCTTGAACACATACATGTCTCAAACACATGCATATAATCTTGAACACATACATATAGTCTTGAACACATACATGTCTCAAACACATGCATATAATCTTGAACACATACATGTCTTAGAACGACTATCAACATTAAGTACCTCCAACTGCAGATAGCTAAAATAGCTCAACATTCTAAAACATGGCTGAATAAAATGTGACTAATGCTTGTTCCAGATGGAAAATTTCACCTGCTGCCTACGGGCGAGTTGTTGGTGCACAGTCTAGAGTTCAGCGATCAGATACACGGCTACAGATGTCGAACGATGCATCGTCTCACCAGACAGGTGGTCGTCAGTTCCATGGCGAACGTCAGGATAGCAGGTAATTGAAGTCTATCTGTTTAACAAGAAAAAATCAATGACATTTTGCGGGACTAGTTAAACCGACCGCGTCTATCTTTGGGTTTCAGATCACAGAGGGGTGATGCCTCCGGTGATTCTTGAAAACTCCGGGGTCGTTCACGTCGCGCAAGATGAATCAACGTCGTTAGTCTGCGTGGCACAGGCCTGTCCTACTCCCGAATATCGGTGAGTTTCAATCACGAAGATTAATTATGGCAATCCGGTCGAACGTCGAACGGCTTCGGTCCAAGGTATCTCTGCTACTTTTATCCGACAACCTAATCAACTGACTGGCGAATACAAATTGAACGGATTATTATATGAACGGCCAAATAATCGTCGAAATAATTGCACGTAATCGAAAACCAATATCCCTGTTTGTTGATAAATTCCGCGCAATTATTATTGCAAACGATGTAAATGAATTTAACGGGGTAATTGCCGGGCAAAACGATGGCGAGTTCAAAGCGGCGAAATCGAACTGGCGCGGCCGTTTACGGAAACGTGAAATTCGGGCAAATTGAGTGTTCGCCGAGAAAACTCGATATCCCGGGAAATAGCAGTTTCCCTAACGATATAAATGTCGCGATCATTCGAGTAACTATGTTCGAGGCCACGCTGAACGTGATCACTGCTACAATTTATCTTTGGATGTGGAAATATAGCGCGTGACGATACATCATGGAAAGATCTAATACGTTCTGATGGATAATAGATGGCTAGTGGTGTCGAATACGTTTCAATATATGGTGGAGTTTCTTTGTGGGTAGAAATGGGTGGAGAATATTCTGTTAGTTGAATATTTGTAAATTATCATGGTTGTTCAAGATTTGGGATGATTGCATTTTTTAATTTTCAAGTCCTTTAAAATATCTAAAATTTCTTGATCTACAAATTAATTCTCTGAATGGTTATATTCCTGAATATCCACTGAATCCTTAGAATTGCTATATCCCGAATCCGTAGAACGTGGAAATTCTACATCCCTGAAGCCCTGGAACCGGGAACACCTACATACATCCCTTAACTCGATACCCTTGAATACCGACATTTCCTAATTTCTAGCTTTTTGGTCCTTAGATTAGAAAGTTCGTAGATTACTAAATGCGTAGATCAAAGGATCCCTAGATCCTAAAATCCTTAAATTCCCAAATTTCTACATCTCCAAATTTCCACATCCCCAATTTCACATTCACTAATTCCCTCATCCCCAAATTCCCACTTTTCCCAATTCCACCTTCCCCAATTCCCACATTCCCCAATTCCCACATTCCCCAATTCCCACATCCCCAAATTTCCACATTCCCCAATTCCACATTCCTCAATTCCACCTTCCCCAATTCCCACATCCCCAAATTTCCACATTCCCCAATTCCCACATTCCCCAATTCCACCTTCCCCAATTTCCACCTTCCCCAATTCCCACATTCCCCAATTCCCACATTTCCCATTTCCCACATTTCCCAATTCCCACATCCCCAAATTTCCACATACCAAATTCCCACATTCCCCAATTCCACCTTCCCCAAATCCACCTTCCCCAATTCCACCTTCCCCAATTCCACCTTCCCCAATTCCATCTTCCCCAATTCCACCTTCTCCAATTCCCACATTCCCCAATTCCACCTTCCTCAATTTCCACATTCCTCAATTCCCATATTCCCAAATCCCCAAATCCTCAAATGCCCAATATCCCCACATCCTCAAATCCCAAAATCCCCAAACCCCCAAACCCCAATATCTCCACATCCCAAAATCCCCAAATCTCCAAATCCCAAAATTCCCAATATTCCAATATCCCCAAATCCCCATATCCTTGAATCCTCCTACATCCCCAAATTCTCCACCTTCTCCCTCCAAAATTTCTAATCTCCCAAACTTCAAAAGCAAAGAACTGACATGACGTTCCACCCGAAACGGTTCTTCCGCGTTTGAGGTTCAGGAAGAAGATCCAGCGCGATTATCGTTCGGCGAAGCACTATGACGCCGACAAAAGTGAATCACGAGAAGACAGTCTTTCCCAGGAAGACAGCGTGTTCTCTAATTCGTGCGGTTTCTTTGTAAAAGAAAATTACCAGCGTTTTTCGGTCGCATCCAGAAAGGATGAACACGGGGAAAGCATAGGGGAAGAACAGTCGAGGGAAAGGGAGCCAAGGAGAAGATTGAAGACAGAAATATTCGAGGTGGAAGGTAAGTAAAGGAATAAGGACTGGGCGCGACTTTGATCGAGGAAAAGTGGGAGCACTCGAACGTGAAGCATCACGAACGGAGCACAATCGGAAGCTCTCTATGTCGCTGCAGGTCTACTAGAAGTCTTCCACTTTGCAGCCTTTTCCCTACCCGAGCTTCCGGACACCTTCTTTCACTGTGGTCACGATTCTACGTACGCATCGAGGAACATCTCGATAAGAATTTACTGTTTACTTGTGTCACTGTGGCAGGATATGCAGCTGTGTTTGATCAAATCAAAAAATACGTTTCAAGCTTTGCCCTTTTGATAAAAGTGGTGGACTTTCCATGTCAACTGGATGTGGGTTAGTTTGGATCAGAAAACTGGTTACATCAATCATTCACATCGGTCAGATCAGAAAACACTGGTTCACCTCTATGAATTATTAGAGGTCACCTTTTGACCTAGGCACAGATGCACCAATAATCTTTGTGTATTTTGTAAAATTCGAGTGAGCAAAAATCAAGTTCGATGAAATCGAAATAATATATGGGCAAACGTGTCCCACGTGGTTAATCAAGTTCCAAACTTGTGCAGCGGTGAATGTGGCCGTCAGAAGAGGATCCAGTGGTTTCAGACTACGAACTTCTACTAATTTACTAATAATTATAGATTGTTTGCAAATGAAAGTACATATTGGCTCTGAAATCGATGAGGTAACGCATACGGTTTGCTCCGCTTCAATTTTAAAGAGAAACATACGGTTTCAAACAAATTTGGACCGCCGCAGATTTTACCGCGGTTGTTGTTCCAAATAAGGGAGGAAACTTTTCCTTTCTCGTCGATGACTTTCGACGCTAATTTACCGCTTCCATTAACAACTTTTTGATTGAGAACCTGGTTGTTGGATACAGAAGTGAAGTATTATTCCAGAGATGGTTCATGAAGATGAGAAACAAATACAGAATTTTCCTGTTGTATTGTTACTTAAAATAGCGTGTTTTTGAAAATAATTTTGAAACGTTCTTTGACCCAAATTTTTAGTATGAACGTTTTATAATCGATGTTTGATCTCTTTTACCTTTGAATAATTTACAAATTTCCACCACAGAATATTTTCAAAAAAGGTGGATGCTTACACAACCTGTTATTTAAAATTCCTCGAGGCATTCAGCGCAATTTACATTTAGAAAAGAGAAGCTAACAAAAGTTGATGAGCAGGATGCGGAAAAACAGCAAGACGAAATGAAGACGAAGAAAATTACCTTGTCGACTTGCAAGTCCATAATTATACCTATTTCTGCATAATCCACATCAATAACACAAAGAATAATATTTTGGAGGAAACCCGATACTTTCAGAAGCTATTAAGATTGCTCGAAGCATTCGACTCAGATTACATTAAAAAAAAAGACAAGAAAACTTGATGATCACGATGTAAAAAAACAGCATAACGAATTATTACATATACTTCTACACAATCGCCGTAAGTAGCAACACAAAGAACAATATTTTGGAGAAAACCTGATACTTTCAGAAGCTATTAAGATTGCTCGAAGCATTCGACTCAGATTACATTAAAAAAAAAGTACATTAAAAAAAAATTTGGACGAAACCTGATACTTTCAGAAGCTATTAAGATTGCTCGAAGCATTCGACTCAGATTACATTAAAAAAAAAGACAAGAAAACTTGATGATCACGATGTAAAAAAACAGCATAACGAATTATTACATATACTTCTACACAATCGCCGTAAGTAGCAACACAAAGAACAATATTTTGGACGAAACCTGATACTTTCAGAAGCTATTAAGATTGCTCGAAGCATTCGACTCAGATTACATTAAAAAAAAAAGACAAGAAAACTTGATGTAATGTAAAAAAACAGTACAACAAAGCGAAGAGAGAGAATTATCTAACCAAACTTTCCAATCCATAACTATAAATATTACACAACCCCCATCAATAACAGCACAAAGAATAATATTTCGAAGAAACCCGATACTTCCAGAAGCTGTTAAGATTCCTCGAAGCAGTCGACTCGATTTACATTTAGAGAAGCAAACAAAAGTTGAGGAGCAGAACGCGGAAAAATGACAAAACGAAACGAAGAAAAACATCTGGATGTGAAAGTGGAATACAGGGGTGGGAGATCCTTCGAACGTGCCTCGATCGAGAACTGTCAAGAAGTTGAGAAGCCAAAAGAAAGCGAGGAATCTCCGGGATAAATGCTCGCGGTGGATGCGACTCGATGTCGTTTCTAGGTCGACGTACCCGAAAGCCAGTGAAATTGCAGCTCCCGTTTTGCCCCGCGGCCCGCCCCTTCGCTCCAGCGGGCTGGTCTGCCTTTCGATGAAAAATTATTCCTGGCGCGGGAAGAGAACGGTCGGGAAAATCGGGACGCAGAAGGGAAGCGCATTAACTTGCAATCATGCAAACTGCGTTACCTTTAAAGGCCGCGCAACGTTCGAAAATTTTTGCTCGCTTTCGTGGACGGACAGAATGGAATACTGCCAGAACCGTATTTTTCTACGCCGCCACAAAAGAATTTTTCGCCGTCGAACACCATTTTTTTTTTTAACCGAGCTGCAATTTGCTGCGCTGTGTAAATGACATTTGATCAAAAATTGCGGGACTGGGGAATTTTAGATGTATTGCTGGACACTTTGTTTTGACGGACTCGTGAAATACTGCTGCAGGGTTCATGGACGTGTAAGGGTAGATTCATGGATGTGCAGAGGTAGATTCACGGATGTGTACAGATAGATCAAGGACTATGATACTTATTCATAAGGAATTTAATGGAATATGATGCAAGGAGGAAGAGTTGTCTTTGGTTGTTTCTTTTTATTTTTAATATGTAAGTTTAGTGAGGTGGTTTTAGTTTAATTGAAGTTTGCTATATTATATTGAATAACTGTTATAAGTTCAGGTACAAAAATTTGATGATTACGTGTGAGAGTCTATTGATACTTACTGAAAGTCCATTGTATACAAGTGATTAGACCAAAGTACTCTTACAATTTCCAGATGGTACGCACAAACAGGTTCAGAGCCGATGCTAGTGCTTTCCGGACCAAGAACAAGATTGCTAGGAACCGTGCTAGCCCTGGAAGCAGTAACACTAGAAGACAGCGGAATTTATCGTTGTTCTGCAGCGAATCCCGGTGGCGAAGCCAGTGCTGAAATTCGGTAACCAAAATTAGAATCAAAATCGAAAATTATTTCTTCGTAATAAGTTATTCCATTAAATACTTTGGAGCACAGTGCGTGTAATTTAACTCGGATGATTGAGAGATTCTGATGTTGAATTTTTACATTTTGACAATTGATCAGGCTGATCGTGACAGCACCGTTGCACGTCGAAGTAACGCCGCCATTGCTGAGCGTCCATTTAGGAGGTAATGCAGAATTTAGATGCGAGGTCAGCACACATCCACAAGCTGGACCACACTTTGTTACCTGGTACAAGGATGGACGCCAGCTGCCGGGCACTGGCAGACAATCAGAATTATTGAGGTTAAACGGCATCGGTAGAGAAGATCGTGGAATGTATCAATGTATCGTCAGACGGGCGGAAGGAGACACTGCTCAAGCCTCTGCGGAACTTCAGCTGGGTGGTAAGTTCAAATTTTAATACTGAATTTATTGTAATTTATTAATAGGTATCTGCCGATTACTGTAGAATGACCGAGTATGAATAATACTGATATGCAAACATTAGGGATGCACAGGTTAAATGTAACGAGTTTGAATTATATTGTGAAAAATTCGTATTGAAAGTAAATTTAAGAGTTTGAAAAATTTAAAAATTCAGAAATTTGCAAGAGTAAAAATATAGAAAGAAAATTTTCAGAATATAAATTATGACTTTCACTATTTAATACCACGTAGATTGTAATTTCTATCATAATCTCCACAAAATACAACTTGCCATATTTGAAGCCACGCTAAATATCCAGTTACCGAAACTTCGATTGCTTAAGGGCAATAAGCAATATTTGAAAGGAAGTATTTCGAGAATTGGAATTAGTTCACGACATTGTTTAGGTATGCAGGAAGATACTGGAGTATACGACCCGACCCAATTCAATTCGTTCGATCTCAATTACCAAATTCAACATACTCGGCTTCATTTTGACTTCGACAGCACAAAGGAAAATTACATGGAAAGTTGCGGTGCAGTTTCGATCGGAATTGCAGATGAGGGGCTTTTCAATAGATCTATGCATACGTATAAATTCACTTTTCCTCGGCACTATCCCACCTTCGACCGTGCTCAAAGCAAATTAGGTCATTCACAAAGATTTATTTTCTGCTATTCTAAACTTTGTCGTTCCCGTGCGAATTCGTGTAATACAATTACCATACAAATGTTTTCCAATTGTCCCCTATCCGATAAAACTTTACGGACTAAACTAAATGTTATTCCTTTAATGTAAATTCACTTAAGCCCTCTTTCCTTCTACCTTTTAATTAAAACCTAATTACGAGTGTTCGACGGCTCAATAATTAAAAGTTGCCATTGGATCGTGCGGGAGAAAGGCTTCAAATATTGTGTAATGTTATTATTAAAAAATATGCAATTTATAAACGAGGAGGATCAAAGAAAAATTATTTGAAGAAATTCAGTTGACTTCATCGTGATATTTTTTAAAAATATAGTTTCTTATGAAATACCAAATTGGAACTCTGTTAAAACACATTATATGAGAAATATACCGGAGAGAATATTAAATGTTTTCTTCAATAAACACTTGCAAATTTTATTGCAGTTCTATTGATAATATAAGAGAAACCAAATGAAACTATTGCATCTGATAATTTTGCAAGTCGTATCGTACCAGAATGAAGTTTAGACTTGACGAGTATTTGTGGACCACAAACTGGTAACAGGACTTCGCGAAGTAAGAATGAAGGCAGGGAAATGTCAGGTAGTCAGCATAACCGATCGCATTACAGAGAACTCGATTACCGAGGAAAGATCGTGTCGACCACGTGGCACGTTACCTCGAGAGGTAGGTCTCCGCTTTGAAGTGGAGAAGGCTTCTTTTACGCTGCTTTAACTCCTCTCATACCCCGGTTACCTTTACCGCCACCTCCACCACCATCGCCGTCATCATCATCCCCCTGTACTCTTTGGTAACCGCTACGTAGCATCTCTGTCGGTCGTTTGCCCTATATCTGGACCGCCCACCTATGGATGAGGAGTGCTGCATGAAAGAGGAACGTCCCGTTGGAGAGGGACGCGGAGGAAACCAGCTAGAGGAGGGCCTTTGAAACAACAATGAAGTTAGCGTCTCTCGCTCGTCAGCGTTGGTAATGCACGGAATTTACGTCAAAGGGAATTCGAGCAAGCGGTGCCGTGCTAAGGACGTACCGTACTCTGGACAGAGAATACCGACAGAGAGAGGAGACGATTCGTTGCAATTTGCAACGAACAAATGGAAAATGCGATATCGCTCGATGCGACGCGCTAATTTCCTTAGGAATTCGATATTAACCTTGCCACTGGATTTATTTAGTGTCAGATCTTTGCTGCAAAATCAAACTGATACCTACTTTGTATTCCTACTTTGCAAATTACTGGACTTGAACTCCAAATTCAAACATTGAAATTAAGTGTAAAATTAAATAAGTTTGAAGTATTAAAATTATAGCAAGGGTTATCACATTCGAACTGTGGGTCAAGCTAGACAAACTGATGCCTACTTTGTATTCGACTGCAAACTGGACTTGAACTTCAAATTGAAGCATTGAAATTAAATATCAATATTAAGTAAGTTTGAAGTATTAAAATTTTAGCAGGGGTTATGACAGTCGAACTGTGGATCAAGCTAGACAAAGTACAAGTTAATTGACTCTGACTATACGTCGATCCAAAAGATTATTTCAGCAAGATGCATGTTAACAAATTAATTTTGTACAAAGTCAAGATGTATATAGAATTACAAATTGTCTTGAAATATATACCTGTGAAGGTATAATAATATGTGTATCCAATGGTAGATTAAAAGGTGAGTCAAGCTAGACAAAGTATAAATTAATTGACTGCTTATATGTCGATCCAAAAGATTATTTCAGCAAGATGCATGTTAACAAATTAATTTTGTACAAAATCAAAATGTATATAGAACTAAAAAGTGTCTTGAAATATATACCTGTGAAGGTATAATAATATGTATATCCAATGCTAGATTAAAAGGTGAATCCAATCAAAGTCCAAAATGGAAAACAGCGAATTAGAATTAACGACTCGATACGAATACCCGATGTAGATATCTTGCATTGGATAGGAATAAAAAAGGAGGAAGGAACTAGATAGAACTCCTAATACCAAGAGAATAACGAAAAAAAGTCGTCGGAGTCGCGGAGCCGTAGCCAAATGGAAACGAATTGCGTTTCGATCGACCGCAGGTAATCTCTAAAGCGATTTTCTCCGCTTCGATTTGCATCGGCGTGGTTCCTTTAATTTTCTCCGTTCGTTCGGGGTCGCGAAAGAAGAGACCAAACTCGAATTTACGTATATTAACAACAGAGGAAAAAGTGGCCATGGAATATTACGTTTTCGTGAAAATTATGAGCCATGGTGCATTATGAAATTCTGGACGAGGATCGTCCTCGTATTTTGTCCGCTCGGCTGAATGAAAATTCACGATCCCGCGAATTCATTTCGACGATGTACCGGCGGCAAAGGCTTTTGTGTTTTTATTTTTCGAACGAAATTAAAAATTTCTACCGTGGAATTGAAAACTCTTATTCCGACGTGGGCACGAATGTATGAAATATTTTGAATTACCGCACGCTCCACGGATTTTCAAAGCTTTCATACGTACAGACATTCTCCGATACGTTCCTTCCAAGACAGACTGGCTGAATAAATAGCGGTAGTTCTGTTTTATTGAAAACGAAGGATGAGTTTTCGCGGTCTCGCGACTACGTATTGACGATCGCTCGAAGGCATCGAGACGAGATTCATCAATTTCCGCACGGATCCACGAGCACCATCTACCAAGGCTTCGTATTCACCTAGACGAAAGCACTCCGGCTATCCTTTCCTATCTACTTTATCCTCTCGGCTTCTAGACGGAACTGTCCTTTGTAACGCGACGCTCGAGCATTTTTAATGACGACGAAATCGACACTTTTAATTATGAAAAGTCCCTCGCTCCTCCAGCCTCGTCCCTCCGAGAAACCCGGCTTCGATCTTCCTGGACCTTCGTCTCCTTCCATCCTGCTTATCCCTCTTTTCCCACCCCCCGTGAAAATACCCTCCTTTTCCCTTCGTCGTGTCGTCGAGATAGAAACATCGGGAGAGAAAAAAATATTCACCGCGCTTCCGTCGCAGCGAGCCCATTGTCTTTCGTTTTCTATCGCGATGCGCGGCTGCTTTCAGAATCAAGAATCTCCCGTGGTCTTTCACGCTCTTTCCTCTTGTTCTTGCGTCCCAGCTAGGCTGCAGGGATTTCTACTTTCGTTGATATCCCACGAATAGCCCCGTCGCGACGCCACGCGAGTCTATGTATCCTTCTTAACGAGATGGATTCGATTGAGCCGCCATCATTGTGCGAATCGAATAGCCTCCCTTCGATCATTCATTTCCACTATCTTTTTACTTTATTCCCACGGAATTTCTTAACCACTTCTACCATATTAATTGAAAACATCAAACACTCTTCTCTAACATTTATCGTAAAATATTCGCGAATGACTATTTCTTTAACCTCCAATAAAATAAAAAGGCGAAATTAAATTGTAAGACTGTATAAGAGTCATACTTTAACTAAAACAGTGAACTAAATCTGAAGATCCATATAAAACAGCTTGAAACTATTCTGCAGACTATTCTACAACTCTACAACAATCCTAATAATAATAATTTCTCTAATAATATCTCCATATTCCATAATGTTACCGCATTTCCTAAGAGAAGTTTCGCTCCTATATCAATTTTTTTTACCACCGGGAAAAAAGAAATAACGCGATCGAAACCTGCGGATGTAAAAAAAGAGAGGTTCCTCTCGTCGCTGCTATTTCTCTCCGATATTTCTCTGGTCCTTTCATAACGTGTGTGCGCTTCAAATGCTTCTTTGAAGTCGTATAAAAACGCGGGCACAAAGGAAGGAGTTGAGAAAGAAAGGATCGACTAGGAAATGTATATTTCGCCTCTGTTTTCATCGCAGACGCGCCACCGATGCTGCTGTACTCGTTCATCGAGCAAACCTTGCAACCAGGTCCTGCGGTATCCTTGAAGTGCTCCGCTGCTGGGAATCCTACACCGCAAGTCTCCTGGGCGTTGGACGGATTTCCTCTGCCAACTAACGGCAGGTGAGCTTCGTTTAATTGTTCGTAACCAGACGCCATCAAAATTTCGGAGATTGGAAATCGGAATCTGTGATAACACTTTCATGGTTTCGGTAGAAGCAGCAACAATGTACTACGTCATGAAATGGAGATGATTGAGAATTAATTTAGAATATATAGATACTTATGTCCCTATATTGTCACATTCTCATATCCTTTTCTTATTATTTCCTTATCTTCTTATATTCTCATACCTGTACCTCTCTCAGATCAACTATAATTTTAAAATAGAAATTCAATCGCACCACTCCGAAAGCAAACAAATAAAATGTCCGATTGCTCGTCGTGAAAAATTGGCGAACGTTTTAACGCGTGCTCGATGCCTCGCAATTAAAATGCAATCGCCTGACGGTGATGGTCGCGGCCACATCTGCTCGGGGCCGATTTCAATTTCGAGCGCAATATCCAGTGAAGAAGCTGAAATATTTATTGCTTCGAAGCGGAACGACGTTCCCCGCGAATGGAAAAGTAGAATGAACACGGAAGCGTGACACTAGAAATTTTCGTGCGCGGTAGAATGACCGATCGACATAAAAGACGTCCTGCGATCCTTCGACCGTGCTTTATCGCCTCTTCTGCCCTCTGTCGGCCATTTCCTTTCTTCGCGACGGAAGCGAACGTCCGCTGTCGAGCATCCGGTAGCTCGGGGCGAAACGCGCCCCGTTTCGCCTGGCCACCTCGTGAAAAACGCTTTCCACGGTGTTCGTACGTGGAATTAGCAATTTCATTGAAGCAGCTCGCTTCGTTCGCGAATATTTATTCATCGCGACGTCGCGATAATTAAAAAACCATCTCCGCGCCAGAGTGCAGAGGTAAAATATTACTCGTTCGCTATGAACGATGTTGTCCGTTAATTTCGAAAGACTTTCGTGCATTAACTTGGAAATTTTCGACGCAATTTATGACTCATAAAATTGAAAATATTCATCCGAATTGCAGGAACGGAGAAATACCGAAAATAGATATTAGTCTTTTAGCGGAGTTCGTTGAAAGAGAATTTTTTGTTCGAAGGTTCGTAATTGGTCAGTACGTGACGGTCCACGGCGATGTCATATCCCACGTGAATATTAGCCATGTGATGGTGGAGGATGGAGGAGAATATTCCTGCACCGCTGAAAATCGAGCTGGGAAAGTCACTCACGCTGCTCGTCTCAACGTTTATGGTAAAATATTTTATTTTTATTTTGCAGAAATTATATAACCAAATCTTTTGCTGCACACATGTAATTTACTGCACCTCGTAATGCTGTATCTAATCACGCGTGATGGACCTACATAATTTAGAATTTTAATCTATGTTTTAGGTCTTCCATACATTCGACTGATTCCAAAGGTAACCGCCGTCGCGGGAGAGACCCTCCGTCTAAAATGTCCAGTCGCAGGATACCCCATCGAGGAGATAAAGTGGGAGCGGGCGAATCGCGAGCTACCGGATGACCTTCGTCAGAAAGTGCTTCCGGACGGCACCCTGGTGATCAACAGCGTGCAGAAGAAGGGCGACGCAGGGGTGTACACGTGTTCGGCGAGGAACAAGCAAGGACACAGCGCGAGGAGATCAGGAGACGTCGCAGTGATCGGTAAGGCCTGACACTCGATCCCTTATTCCAGGATTGTTACAGGTTTCTGGAAGACGGAGCCACGGTTTATGGAGACCGATAATTTTAGCCACCGTCTCGTGGCAAAGACGAAGCGAACACGACCTCGTGAAAAACGCTTTCCACGGTGTTCGTACGTGGAATTAGCAATTTCATTGAAGCAGCTCGCTTCGTTCGCGAATATTTATTCATCGCGACGTCGCGATAATTAAAAAACCATCTCCGCGCCAGAGTGCAGAGGTAAAATATTACTCGTTCGCTATGAACGATGTTGTCCGTTAATTTCGAAAGACTTTCGTGCATTAACTTGGAAATTTTCGACGCAATTTATGACTCATAAAATTGAAAATATTCATCCGAATTGCAGGAACGGAGAAATACCGAAAATAGATATTAGTCTTTTAGCGGAGTTCGTTGAAAGAGAATTTTTTGTTCGAAGGTTCGTAATTGGTCAGTACGTGACGGTCCACGGCGATGTCATATCCCACGTGAATATTAGCCATGTGATGGTGGAGGATGGAGGAGAATATTCCTGCACCGCTGAAAATCGAGCTGGGAAAGTCACTCACGCTGCTCGTCTCAACGTTTATGGTAAAATATTTTATTTTTATTTTGCAGAAATTATATAACCAAATCTTTTGCTGCACACATGTAATTTACTGCACCTCGTAATGCTGTATCTAATCACGCGTGATGGACCTACATAATTTAGAATTTTAATCTATGTTTTAGGTCTTCCATACATTCGACTGATTCCAAAGGTAACCGCCGTCGCGGGAGAGACCCTCCGTCTAAAATGTCCAGTCGCAGGATACCCCATCGAGGAGATAAAGTGGGAGCGGGCGAATCGCGAGCTACCGGATGACCTTCGTCAGAAAGTGCTTCCGGACGGCACCCTGGTGATCAACAGCGTGCAGAAGAAGGGCGACGCAGGGGTGTACACGTGTTCGGCGAGGAACAAGCAAGGACACAGCGCGAGGAGATCAGGAGACGTCGCAGTGATCGGTAAGGCCTGACACTCGATCCCTTATTCCAGGATTGTTACAGGTTTCTGGAAGACGGAGCCACGGTTTATGGAGACCGATAATTTTAGCCACCGTCTCGTGGCAAAGACGAAGCGAACACGAATACGTCATCGTTGAAATAGATCGCGTCGTAAGAGAAAAAGAGAGAAAGAATTGCAGGATACCAAGACGAGCAGACAACGTTCCGGGGATGACGTGTTTCACTTCGTCTATGCTTCTCTGGCTCACGAGCTGTCGTTGTTGTTATTATTCCAGTTCCTCCCAAAATTAGCCCATTCACGGCAGATCGTGATCTCCATCTCGGCGAACGAACCACGTTGACCTGCTCGGTCACAAGGGGCGATCTGCCATTGTCGATCTCCTGGCTCAAGGACGGACGATCGATGGGACCGTCGGAACGCGTCACTGTCACCAATATGGATCAGTACAATAGCATACTGATGATTGAAAGTTTATCTCCAGATCACAACGGCAACTACTCGTGCGTGGCCCGTAATCTGGCCGCAGAGGTATCGCACACGCAGCGGCTTGTGGTTCATGGTAATCCTCCTCTAGGCCCCCTTCAATTTTGCCCGACGACCGCCTGTCCGCCCGAAATCCGGAAGAGTGCGAATCGTATGAGTGCGTACACGGTTGCCCACACTCGAGAATGAAGCGCGTGAGGATCTTAAAGTGCTGTCTCGACGGCTGCCCAACCATATATCGCGACGGTGAAACGTTGAACGAGTATACCGATTTATTTTTTTGAATCAGCTTCCTCTCGAACTACGACATCCAGTGTGTGCGCTGTCAATAGCCGCTGTAAATAGCTTTCGACGTGTCGGATACGATGAAAACTGTGGATCGCACAGCTCGTTCAGTTCTTACGCGTTCATTCGAGACGGATCTTTACTTACGACGCCACCGACGTCATCCAGGAACGTAGAGACCTGGTGACGCGTACTCGATGACGGCTCACGCTTAGCGTGGCTCATCCTCCTGCACGAGACCTGCCACCGTCACCTCCTACCGTTCTCCCTACATCCTTGTCTCGACTCTTTGGAAAATGTTCGCTCCATTCTCGAAACTGTGATCGTCCAGACGAGTTTCCAAAGGGTCGACAAAATGCTAGCTCTTGCGTTGAGAACGACCGTATGCCGGATGAGTGTGCGATGCCAAATTAAGTGTACAAGGTGTTTAAGGGTGGCAGGGGCAGGTCCGCGGCGGGGCCACCCTCTCTCTCCTCTACATTGCTACGTTACTATACTGCCTCTATTGTACATATTCTACGTATATATATATACATATTATATTCTATATATATATCTATACATATACATTGACGTACTACTGTCTATATATATATATAATATATAAAAACATACCGCTACTATATGAACCATAAATATATATATATGTATATATTTATACATATATATATAAAAAACACATGTACCTGGTACAAAAAAGGTTCTTGCGTTTTTTTTGGTGCCATCTTTTTCTCGCTCTCACGTATGGTTCTCTCTTCTCTCTTGACCTTTTCCAGTACCCCCTATTATTGAGCCATTTACGTTCCAAGAGGGACTATCCGAGGGGATGCGGACGCGGACGGTGTGCGGGGTCGCGGCGGGTGATCCACCCCTAACTATATCCTGGCTAAAAGACGGCCAAAGTCCTTTCCCATTGCCGCCGAATCTGGCCTCCGTCGCAAACGTCTCCCAACTGGATCCTTACTCGAGCCTCCTCAGTATAACGAACCTCGCGGCCGAGCACTCCGGCGACTATACCTGCGTCGCCGCGAACCCCGCCGCCGAGGTCAGGTACACGGCCAAGCTACAGGTAAAAGGTAACTAGATGATCGGCGACCCTTTTCCGTCACGATCCCAAAACCTAACTCATCCGCTAACATCGATCTCGACGTGTCATTTTTCATTTTTACGATTCGCTTAGGAGCAATATCTGTCTCACTTTTTGCAACAAATCATCCCTTAAATATCCTAGTATCCAAAAACACTTGAGCTCTACAAGCTTGTATAATTTATCTGTAGCTTTTTATTTATCTGATCCTTCTATTTGATAATTTTATTCAAAATTGAATTTATCTTTTGAGAATTCTAATGTATTTTTTTGTATCAGAGTTAAAATATGGAAAGAACGAGTTTTGAAATAGAGATATCGTCGAGGTCGAGACTTCCTGAAGAACCCTGTCCTACGTCCTGACCGCTCCGTTCCCTATAATCACTATCAGAACATCCGTCATCATCGTCATTATTTCATAACGCTTAATAATTCGATTCCTGCATCACCATCGTTAATCGTCGTAGTGTTCTCGCACGGATCAAAGACGAGCTGTTGATAAATTGTCGAGCAGAATAGGAACACGTGGAGTTTGCGCGCTTTCTGGCGTTAGATCCGAGTCTCATTCGTAGCGAGATCACGCACGTATCATCATATCGACCCGTTCCTTTTTGATTATTGATTACGAGCCCGTGTCCTTTGGATCCCGACGATAATATCCTTCCCCTCAGACACAGTGTGTATTACATTTACGTTGCTTTGGCTCTCTGGGAATGCGTCGGTATCTCGTGGACCCCCCGAGGTTTGCTTGACTTGACCGAATAATAAAGGTAACAGTTTGCACCTTTCCTTATTTTACTGGTTTTTTATACGGAGCAACCAACCAACCAAGCAAAAATAAAAGAAACTAACTCTCTTCTGGCCTGCGTGCGTGCGTGCGTGTATGTGAGCATTTACACACACTTTTACTGCATGCTCTTTTCTCTACGAGGTAGTGGTTTTTTCTGTCTGCATTATACCTTACGTGTATGTACATACGTATTTACTTAATTATATATAATTTTAAGTGTTCTTTGATCACCCGAATACGAGCACGTGCCGTTCAAGCTCACGATAAATGATTTGAACAGAAATTTTTGAACAAATGAATCTTCACCAACCTATGCGCTGGCTCTCCTTTCGGCTCGTTGAAAGGCAACCTTTTTTCGATTACACTTTTGCATGATTTCTCACTGTCTTTTCTATCTGTCACGCTCTTTTTTATCTTTCCCTCGCGGCAGCGAAACACGCGGGGCCACCGGTGCAACGAACCTCGACGCTTGTCAGAATCGATCCCATCTTTTCTTGTCGAGTCGAACGGAAATAAGTTTCAGGAATAACATTTTCGATCGGGAAGACCGATCTTCGTGTCCTCGGGACCGTTGCGACCGTTGCCCCGGATGCTTTGCACGCGACCCGGTAATGTAGGCTAGTAGTACGTATTGTTATTATTATTATTATTATTATTATTAACTTAAATTCGTATTCATCGAACTAGTCGTTAGAAGCGGGTACTTGATATATATCTATATATACATATATATATTATTATTATTCGCCTATCCACGATATATCTTTCGGTCTTCCGCCGACATGCTCTCATCCGTAACCTCACACTTCCTGCCCAATTGCGCCTTTTCTCTTTCCGAGAGTTCTACTTGTTTCACGCCATCGTTGAACGAGTATATATATATTATATAACATCTACTCGATCTGAAAACGCACAGACACACACACAGATACAAACATATATATATCTATATATATATTATATTGTCGCACGCGTTAATGCGTGGCCGGTATTTGCCGTCTTGTAAAACGTTGGAACTCCCACTCACAGTATCTCGCTTGTGCAGCGTTTTTCACCACCGTAAAAAGTAGAACCCGCCAAACAGTACACCCGAAAAAAGAAATGATTATATTGATAATGATTGAGAACAACAATTACCTGAAACTCTCAAGCAATGTCGATGCGCGGCGTACGAACATACGGGAATACCAACCGATTATTATTAATATACATGAATCGTCTTTCTCTCTTTTCCGGCGTTTGTCGCATTTAGACGATGCACACACATACACATACTAGTGGTGGTTACGTTTACCAGCCGTAGTTAGATATACAGAATCTCGATAGACGCTTCATTCTGCACTGTACCTTACTCTTCTTTTTTTTTTGGTCTCTCGTCTATTTTTTTTTCTTCGTCTGTTCTTTGAGCTATTGTTATTGGTGTAACTAGGACTTTTGGATCGGGTGAACCGGCTCCCTTGATCTTTATTGCTGCCATGTCATTTGGCCGACGTGGTCACTTTGGGAATTTTATTAATTTGAGAACTTGAAAATTGTGCATTTAAGAAGGGTATTAGAAAATTCAATGGTTTGGAAATTTTTGCACTTGACAGCTTGGGAACTTGAAGACCGAATGTGTAAATTAATTAAGGACTTGAAACTTGGGGGTTGAAAATTGAAGATATGAAAACTTGTGAGACAATGCTGACTTGGAAATTTGAAAATAAATTGGAGATTTAGATGTTTGACTATGATGGAAACTGGGGATGTAGAAATTAGATATAATAAAAGCTGCAAAGTTGCAACTTTGAGAGTTCGAAAATAATTTATAAGTCCAAGAACCTCCTGCAGAATAGAAAATTTACAAATGTGAGTCTATAAGAACTTGAAACCTAGAAACTATAAAGAATTTCAAATGTCTAATATGAAGTACGTAGAGTCGATTGACATTCAAGGGGGATCAGGGCCACGTGATCCCTAGCTAGTTACTCCAATGGCTACTGTACGTCTATGGTGTATCGATCGAATCGCTTGATTGGTCAATCCTTTCGTAGAAGCAGAACAAGTCCGTTGTTTCCTCGTGAATGATCTAGGAAATCGAGAAAGTATCGACATTGATGGACGCCTCGCATCGACACGTACCCCACTTCCATACTGTACCTCACCCACGAACCTTCATTCACTTTGTCTTAATGTCTCTGTCACTTGTTCATTACGAAAATAATTACCATTCACCGCGTATATAACGATTATCAAAATTGTTCGCGTTGTACATTTCTTTATTTCTTTTTTTTTCATCTTCGAGATTCAGAAAAGTCCTCGAGTCGTTGTTCCGAAGATAAAGAAAGGAACGAAGCATACTCGTCGACGACAGGCGACGTCGTTTCACGCTCCTCTTTTTTGTATTTACTTTCACATTGTACAGTGTATCCGTTGTTTGTACATAGTACCTCGATATTAGGCCGGACGACGTAACGCCGCTCCGTCGACGAGCTCGTCCTTTGATCGCGCTTTTCACGACGTACCTGTCTCTAAATCGCTAACGACCAGTAAAAAATAAAACGTGCACGCTAGCCTCACGGTGGAGCCATTTAAAGCTGGACGATCTGATTTTCAGTGCCGCCAAGATGGATCGTTGAGCCGACGGATGTGAGCGTCGAAAGAAACAAACATGTCGCCTTGCACTGTCAGGCTCAAGGCGTGCCTACTCCCACGATTGTTTGGAAAAAAGCCACTGGTAAGACATTATTTTTCAAAACATAAATATTTCATCTTATCTAGGTGAAACTTCTTTTTACTCTCGAATATTATTTTCTGTAACGGAGTCTCTATATGGCCTTGAACGAAGACAACATTACAAAATGGCCGACATAGAGGGAACTCAGATACTAACTTTTGAAAATTATATACTTGTAAATAATTTAAATGATCCACTATTTTTAGATGTTTAAAAAAATTGCTTGACTACGTTTCAGAATAATTCTGTTTCATTTCTTCTGTGTCTAATAGGAAGTAAATCCGGTGAATACGAGGAGTTGCGAGAAAGGGCATACACCAAAATCCTGAGTAACGGTACGTTATTGTTACAACACGTGAAAGAAGACAGAGAAGGCTTCTATCTCTGTCAAGCAAGTAACGGCATTGGAAGCGGCATCGGCAAAGTTGTACAGTTAAAAGTAAACTGTAAGTACTTCCCATATTTGCGGTAGAAATCGAAAGATTACGAAACGGACGAGATTGTCCGCAATAAAATACCCGTGACGCAACGTGGTCATTGTGCAGTTCGAAACTAACCATTTCTCGTTTTATCGCATGCAACAGCATCTCCATATTTCGCGGCACCCTCGAGACTGGTCACCGTAAAAAAAGGTGACACTGCGACGCTGCATTGCGAGGTACACGGCGACACTCCCGTTACCGTCACTTGGCTGAAAGGCGGGAAAATCGAGTTAAATCCGTCGACGAACTATCGGTAAAACTCTGATTAGTTTGAAAATTGTTCCAGAAAACTCTGATACTGTTAGTTAACGGAATAGAGTTAGCTGCTGGAGTACACACAGCAAGGCGGCTCGAAAAACATGGGCTATAAGTCGATTTTCATAAATTGTTGCCACTTAGAGTCATCAACCTTTTTGCGAGATCAAACGTTTCAAATTAATTGTGTTATACAGGGTTTCAATTATACTTTGATGATCGTACTTAAAAATAATAGCTGATGTTGATGTTCAAATTGGTAGTCAAAAGCTGTCTATTTTATTTATTAAATTATTCTATTGTTTTATAAACTGCGTACATATTTTGTCGAATCAGCCTGTACTTAAGACTACCTCATCAGATTAAAGATTTACTATAATAGAATAATCAAAATTGTAAAACTAAAACTTGTCTTTTTTAAGAAGTGAGTCATTCTTATTGCAGCCTATGTTTATAGCACATCCATAATATCTAAATGAATAATAAAATGTATAAAATTCCGCATACCACGCCGATGTATGTAAGTACACGAATACAAAGCGACAGAGTAGTACAATGAACATTTTCTTGTACACGAAGGGTGACAGTAAAACGAGAAGTAACACCGGACGGTGTCATAGCACAGTTACAAATATCATCGGCGGAGGCGTCGGACAGCGGAGCGTATTTTTGTCAGGCGAGTAATCTGTACGGTCGAGATCAACAGCTGGTGCAACTCCTCGTACAAGGTACAATTAATCCGTCGATGAAAAAGTCCATGTGAAAACGGCTCGTACAAGAACGGAATGTTGCGTTCTGTTTCAGAACCACCTCAGCCACCGAATTCCCTGGAAACTGCCATGGTTGCCAGTCGAAGCATCAACGTTAAGTGGCAACACAAATCCCAAGACACCAGCGAGGTTACCAAATACATTCTTCAGTACAAAGAAGGCGATGGTAAATATTTTTTTTATGGTGTTAATATTTTTATTGTTAATTTGATTTAAACGTATACTTTCTTATTTGAAATTTTCAAATTTTCAAACTTTTAAATTTAGATATTTAGATGTTTATAAGTTCAAAAGTTTTTGATTCCACTTCAGTTAAATTCCTAAGGCAAAAAATATTCTGTAGCACAAACTTCCTGTTCACAAACTTAGTTCACCTCTCATCCGACCTAGGGCCATATAGCGAGACTCCACCATATCACACTGCACCAATCCCTGTCATTGATTCTAACAGCTTTTTCTGTCGAAACAGGCGGTATGTGGCAGCAACAAGAATTTACTGGTCCACCATTACCATATGCTGCCCTGATAGACGAACTGAAACCAGCGACCAGATACACGATCCGCGTGATCGCGGAAGGACCAGCTGGCCGATCGGTACCATCGGCCGAACTGATTGTCCGAACCGAACCACAAAGACCTGCTGGACCTCCGATTAATCTTGCAGCCAGGGCTCTGTCCTCCTCTGAAATTTTAATCACTTGGTCGCCACCGTTGCCTGAACTCCGACACGGTGACATCCAGGGATTCAACGTCGGCTATAGAGAAACGAGGTAGAAACTTCGACGATCGATCTTGAAGCAACTAACAATAAGTCTTCATCCCAAAGTTGCAAAACATATAGTATAAAAAATGTTTAAATTATAAATTTAAACTTTGTTCAGTAAATTTAAAAATGTAGAAAGTTGGAGACTGTATTCCCTCTGGTTGTGGAAAGTGTAAAAATTGTACCAGGAGTAGTGTGCAGGGATAGTTGATCTACTCATCATTGGTTTATAACAAAATAATCCCATAAAAGAAATACAATTTCTATGATCGTCTGACTACGCCATAATCCAGAATTTAATTATAGAAATAGTTCGGAACGCACTTAACAGCTCAAGTTCAGAACTCCATTACGTTAGGAATCTTCTTTCAGTTCCGCAAATCCCTCGTACAACTTTAGCTCCGTGTCCGGGGACGGAGAAGAAGGGGGCGCAGAACTTCGACTAACAGGTCTTCGACCCTACACAAAGTACACTTTGGTGGTTCAGGCGTATAATCAAGTTGGATCTGGACCACTTTCAGAGCCTTTGCTTACACAGACGCTCGAAGACGGTAAGAGATATTCCGGAGAATACGAATTACGCAAAAGTTTGAAATATGCAAAAACTTCATGAATTACTGTCGATAGAATATTGATGAGGAAATTTCTTCAGTTCCCAGCATGCCACCGGAGGACGTCAGATGCGCTGCATTGACATCGCAGTCTCTTCAGGTGTCTTGGCAACCGCCTCCTAATACGCACAGTAACGGCATCATTCAGGGATATAAATTGCATTATGAACCTATCTTGGCTGACATTTGGCGTAGTGTTGATGAAATGGAAGTGAGTGTGATTCAATAATTTGTAGTTCTTAGATAGTTTGTTAAGGGTTCTTTATTGAGTGGTTTGTTTTAGGTACGAAAGACTAGTGCGTTGACTACTGTGCTGACGGGGCTGAGGAAGTATACGAATTATACTATTCAAGTGTTAGCGTTCACAAGGGTTGGTGATGGGGTGCCTACTACTGTCACTTACTGTCAGACTGAAGAGGATGGTAAAATTTCTGTTTATTGTATTAGACCGAATTCCTATATTCCCAAATTCCTATATCTCCAAATCCATATCTCCCAGATCCCTGTGGCCCTAGAATACTACATCCACCTGTATCTTCCGAATCCTACACGTTGTAATTCCTAGATCCCCAAGTCTCTACATCCCCAAATCACTCTGACCCCAAATCCATGCATCCCCAAATCCATGCATTCCCAAATCCATGCATTCCCAAATCCATGCATTCACAAGTCCATGCATCCCGAAATCCATGCATTCCCACATCCATGCATCCCCGAATCCATGCATCCCCAAATCCATGGATCCTTAAATCCATGCATCCCCAAATCCATGCATCTCCAAATCCATGCATCTCCAAATCCATGCATTCCCGAATCCATGCATCCCGGAATCCATGCATCCCCAAATCCATGGATCCTCAAATCCATGCATCCCCAAATCCATGCATCCCCATATCCATGGATCCTCAAATCCATGCATCCCCAAATCCATGCATTTCCAAATCCATGCATCCCCAAATCCATGGATCCTCAAATCCTTACATTCCCAAATCCATGCATCCTCAAATCCTTACATTCCCAAATCCCTGTGTCCTGAATTCCTTACAACACCGAATACTTGCATCCTCAATTCCTACATCCCTAAATCTCTACATCCACAAATTTCTATAACCTTAAATCTCCACATCACTAAATCTTTACCTGTAAATAACCTTGATAAATCTTTGCAGTGCCAGGAAGTCCAGCAGACATCAAAGTGGTGGTCAGTTCCCCACAAGCCCTCTTCATCTCCTGGCTCCCACCCCTCGAGCCGAACGGAATAATTACGAAATACAACCTCTACACAAGGTACCAGTTTCACTTCATCGACCACGTTTCTGCAGTTTAATCACTGTGGAAATTGTGGTTGTTTCACAGGGTCGTAGATGGGCGGGAGGAGCTCAATCACGGTAAAAGAACACTGCCAGCCACGAACACGTATTTCGAGGCCACCGATTTGCAACAACACGTAGAATATCAGTTTTGGGTGACCGGTAGCACCCGAGTAGGCGAAGGTCAGAGTTCCAGGGTGGCTGCACAGGTACCCACTAATCGGGTACCAGCGAGAATCACCTCGTTCGGAGGTCACGTAGTGAGACCTTGGAGAGGATCTGCTACTTTAGCTTGCAACGCGGTTGGTGACCCTACCAGGGAGTGGTACAAAGGTGCAGCCGAACAAATTCGCACGGACACCACCAGAAATATACAGATCTTACCGTCGGGAGAACTTGTGTTATCTAATTTGCAATCGCAAGATGGCGGTAACTACACTTGTCAGGTGGAGAACGCGCAAGGGAGCGACAAGCTGCATTACACTTTAACCGTGCAGGGTGAGATTTGAAGTTCCTCATGATTTATATCGATAGTTCTGGTAAATCGTTATTTAAATACTATATTTCTCATAGTACCACCGAATGCGCCTGTTCTTTACGTAACGAGTTCCACGTCCAGCAGTATTTTACTGCACTGGAAACCTGGACATTCTGGAGGTGCTCCGCTCACTGGGTACACGCTGCATTATAGAACCACCCATGGCAATCTGGACGAACTACAGTTGTCTCGTCACGCAACGAGCCATGAGTTAAAGGTACGCAAAACAATTTCATAAAGATAGTCTATCAAAATATCCTACATCGACTGTTACATTCAATGCATTTTTAGGGATTACTATGTGGAAACACGTATCAGTTATACCTGACGTCTCACAACAAAATCGGGAGCAGTCCATCATCTCCCGTCCTTTCGGTCCGAACTCAAGGTCAGGCTCCAGGAATACCTCCCGCAGCCGCTTTCCTCAGTCCAAACTCCACCACGCTTGTCCTCCGACTCCACGTATGGCCCGACAACGGTTGTCCCATCCTCTACTTCGTCATCCAATACAGACCCATCAACGAGTTCCACTGGACGCTGGTATCAAACAGCGTCAAAATGCAGCGACGGTTCGTCGTGACGAACTTGCAACCCAGCTCCGTTTATCAGCTGAAGGTCGAGGCTCATAACGTGGCTGGTAGCAACCAGGCGGAGTTCACGTTCGTAACGTTGACGAAGGAAGGCGGTAAGCTTGAGTGCATAAACGAACCAGCCAGGTTGAATGATATGGGAACGCGTGTCTGTTAGTCTGGTGTTCGTTTTCGAATTGAAACAAGTATATCCAAAAGCACTGTGTTCCTGAAACGTTGCAGAACCGCCGCCCCCAGAACTGTCGAAACGCGGGATCACGTCGGCCGTGCCGTTTTACGCGGACGTGAAGGTGATGCTGCCTCTGATCGCGGCCACCATTGCTTTACTCGTCGCTGTGGTGATCGTGGCTCTTCGTTGGCGAAGCAGTAAGTCGTATTGTCCATTAATTACACGTGGGATGTAGGGAGACGGAGACATAAGCACATACGGGGATGTGGGAGTTGAGGAATGATGGGATCTATGGGTGAAGGAATATGGGGATGTTAGGATCAGGGGATGTGGGAAACTGGAGATGGATTTGGGGAAGTGGTAGCATTGAAGTGTAGGGATTTTGGGAGTTAGAGATATTAGGGTTGAAGAGTTTTAGGACATAGAAGTTTTAGGATCTGGAGTCAGGACATAGAGATATCAGATATTGGGACCAAGACTTATCGGGTTTAGGGGTGTTGGGACGCCAACATAAGGATTTGGAAATGTGAGAGTAGGTATGGGTACATATGGCAACATTGAATATAGAGATACATTACCTAGAATTGCAAAGGTCAAGTAGACCATCATCACATGGGGGCCCATATATATGATAATCTGTAAATACAACATCCAGGAGCGTTAGAGTTTTCATAACACACCATATAGCTTACATGTATCCTCTAAACATACACTCTTGCAAAGATCATTTCAAACATAATCATTCATTTTGTACATAAAAAATCATCATAAGGGACTAACCCTAAGCATCCGAAATTAGCATTATCATAATGATCACACATTGAACACACACATTTTGTTCGATTCGTATATCTCAGGATATTTAGGAGAGAGAATGCAACGTCCCATGAAAGAGACTCAGGAGAATCAACAGAATGCAGAAACCCAAAGGGAACGTTACTACGCGACGATACACAAGGTGGCGTTGCAACAGGCAGCGAATACGGGCGCAGGGCCCGACAAGATTCCAGGTGAACCTTTGTTACGATACGGACGACAGCCAGGTTTGGTACCATAATTGTTGTTCAGGTAAAAAGTCGCACGCGTAGCGCTGTTCACGACGGGAATGGACAGACCCGTTAGCGATCGAAGTTCACGAGCAAAGGTGGATTATTTTCTAACATCTTCCATCGACTCATCGTAGATTCATTTATCGTCTGTTTATTTTTTCGTTGCTATTTTCATGTGATCATCGTTGAGTGTCACGTTGAATGTTTTATCATGCATCGCTTTTGTCTCCATTCATCATTTTCCATAACTCCTTAGCAATAGCATTCCCGTTAAACTCCGGAGATTCGAACAAATAGAAGCTTGTAGTATATACAGTGTAAAATAGCGGAGAATATTATGATACTTGAAATAATTGACAAGTATGTACTCGTAATATTCTCCTAGAGTATTTGTCGTTGAAAATCTCAAGTTTTCATGCTTTACGTCAGTGCTGTCTTGATGTGTATTCGTAAACTCTGTTACATGTATGTTTATGATTAACCAATCTGTTAAGAAGCTGGTTCAGACAGCAGTGATATCGAATCGAAAATAATTGAAATAGAGTATCGTGAGACGCGTTATAGAGGTGAAAATCGATCGACAGCTAAACAATTCATCCCGACGCGATTTGAAAGGTAGGCAATGCCTCTGGTGGGTTACAGAGACAGCGGAGGACATCTCGCCGTACGCTACGTTCCAGCTTTCGGAGGGTGGCGGGGGAAGCCTGGCAGGGTTGGGAGGGCTGGGAGGACTGGGAAGCGCGGCGGAAGCTTCAGCGGCCGGTCTCCACCCGAACAATACGCTTCTACACAGTTTCATGTATCACGAGCACGCGATGACCGAAGGCTGCGCAAGCCCTCCACCTGCCGCGACGGTAGGTCATCACATTTTCTTCCATTTTATACTCTTGGCACTGCAAATACAATCCCAATCAAATCCCTACTTAAAAGTCCTGAAATGTTACACTTCAACGATTGTGCAAATTTTACTTTGCACCACTAGCGAGAAAAAATATCTCGAGGCGACATCTAGTGGACGTCGCTCGAATTAAGTCGTCCATGAACACTTTCCCTCACTTATTAACTGCTTATAAAACCTTGCAACTCGCTTACTAACTGCTTATAAAACCAAAAAGAGATACATATTCCGTAAATTCTTATTACAGAGCATGAAGAGCGTCTCTTCGAGGAGACGGCAGCAGAGAAAGCAACAAACTCCGGGCGACGTCGAGAGCGACGAGAGCGAGTCTGACCCGGATCAACTGACGAGCTCTCGCACGGAGTCTTCCAACCAGCTGGACGCTGGCAAACTCAAACACAGTGCGTTTGTTATACAATTCAAGATTTAGGTACTTCAATCATGTAGTATTTGATAAATGTTTTTTCAGTTCGAGCCGTTTCAGACTTCATTTACCACGGTACGTCGAGCACTTCTTCAGACATCTCACCCATGTCAGAGCAGAAGTCTCTTCCTCGAAGAGGACGATCTAGGTAAGCTAAGGACTCATGGTCACGTTCATAACATTATTCATAATGTTCATTATCATTATTCTTTACATTCATTAACATTATTCATAATATAGACTAGTTGACATCATTCATTAGACATTTATGGATAAGATGAGCATTTACGAGATCATATTCAAGGAAGATATTTAGATCATCGTATTCAGACAAAATGATTACTTACATACAAGTTCATCTTTTTCTAAAGAAAATCAGTATCTATAAACATCATCATCATTTACAGACACGGTCATAATTTACAAATAAAGTCATCCATTCCATGATCATTATTTATCCACAAGGTCATCGTTGCAAACATGATCATCCTCTAAGAACAAGATTATCGTTTACCAATGAGATCATCATTTATAAATAAGATCATTTACAGACATAATCATCATTTATCAAGAAGGTTGTCATTTATAAAAAAGATGATTATTTACAAAAAAAAGATGATCATTTGACCATTTTGAAGGAAGGTGATCATGTAGAAATAGGATGACGATAAAGAAAGAAGAATTCACGTTCATGGTTCGCTGTAGTAAGTTGATACGTTTGGCTGTCCCGTAAGATGGCATGTTCCCAGCAGGAGCTCCCTACGTACGCTGCTGCCACCGATCTCGGTCGCGGAGACGACGTTCGTAGGAGGTAATCAGGGGAACGTAGTTCCGGGGAACGGCGACCGTACCGACCGGCCGGAGCTCAGCGAGGCAGAGTGCGACATCGACTCCTTGAAGAAGCTGAAACTAGGCCTGAGGAGCTCGCTATGGTCAAGGCCGAGCACCCAAAATAATCCTTCCTCCGACTATTCCATCGCCGTTTAATTCGTTCTTTATCTTCTGTCCCGTGTGCCTCCTCCGTTTCCCGTGTGTCCACGGTAGGCCAAGTATCTTCTTCCTTCCCGTTTCTTCCCCATGGTCCAAAACAGTTTAGGTAAACGAATCCTTCTATCTGGTGTCCCGTCGACGCTATCGACGCGGTTAGATAAAAGACAGAAAGACAGGACGCGTGTCCGCTTCCCTCTTTTCTCTCTGTCGATTATAGATGAAAATTAAAGAATTATATTCGTTGCTAGGGATCGGCAGGTGACTCGGATCGTGGATCACGGAGAGAGATCGATGGTCGATGGGTACCTGAATTTATGGGCTGGTTTTGGGACTTGGGGGTATGTTTTTGAGTTAGGGAAGTGGGGAAGTGGGAATTTGAGGATTTGGGGACTTAGGGATTTGGGGGTTTGGGGATTTAAGGGTGATGGGATATTGGGATTTGAGGATTCCAGAGTTTAGGAATTCGACAGTTTTTAAATTAGGAAATTTGGGGGTTTGAGGGGTGGAAACTTGGGAATTTGGGGATTTGGGGACTTAGGGATTTAAGGGTGATGGAACAGTGGGATTTGAGGATTCCAGAGTTTAGGAATTCGACAGTTTTTAAATTAGGAAATTTGGGGGTTTGAGGGGTGGAAACTTGGGAATTTAGGAATTTGAGAAGTAGGAACTTGAGAATTTGGGAATTTAGGGACGGGATGTCGGGATTCAGGGATTTAGGAGTTTAGGAATTTGAAAGTTTTAAAATTAGAAAATTTGGGAATTTAGAAGTTTTTAAATTAGAGGATTTGGAAATGTTGAGGTATGGGAAGTAGGAATTTACTTAGAAAAATCGGGAACTTGGAATTTGGGGATTTAGAAATTTAAGAATTAGAAGATTAAGGAAATTCAAGGATTTCAATATTCAGAAATCCATAATATTAGGAAATTGAAGATTTGGAAATATAGAAACTTATGAACCACAAAATCCCAAAATTAAAAATTCAAATATTTAAATTTGAAAATTTACAAAAAAACTTATTTTTAAATTTTCAAATTTGAAACTTGAGAAGTTTCTAAATTTCTAATATAGTATATGAGATATTTTGAAGTGAGTAAATAATCGCGATACTCCATTGTGGACCTGAAAGGTAGACAACGCCTCAACCTAACCTAACCGTAATTTGAGGTAGCCATGGATCTGCAGTAATTCTCTCTTCGTGATCTACGAAATAACGAGATATTACATCCGTGAGTGAGTGCAGGTGACGAGCGAATGTTCAAAGATTGAATGAATTAATCGCGTGTGTAGGAGTGCGTGCCAAACGACAATTTGCTCAGACCGCTGCGACTCGTTTGCTGGCGGGCGACCCATTCGAGACCAAAGACTTAATCGAACGAACAGAGCACGGGAAAGTCCTTCGAGTACCTGCTCGTCATGGAAAACGACGCCATGTCATTAAATTAATCGAGAAAGTTTCCTCTGAAATGTCAAACAACTGTTTTAAACCATCTCTAAACACCTCATCATTTTTATATTAACGCTAGAACCATCTGCGTTAAATGAACAATTATTTTAAAATTGAAAATTAAATGAGAAAATAAATGAGTAAAAGTAAGTATAGAAAGTAAAGAGTAAGAATACATAAAAAAATAGGAAGAAGTAAATAAGTGGAAAGAAATAAATGAAAAGTAAAAATAAATGAGTGGAAAAGTAAATATCAAAGCATCTAACAAACATTACCTTCTTTTTTTAAACAAAATTTCGAAAAAGAAAGAAGAACAACAAATTTTGTAATATAAAACAAATTTTGTAATAAATATCCTTTGTATAAAGTAACCTGAAGCCGCCATTTTGACTAGTTGGTTCTAGCGTTAACCATTTGAAGAGAAATAAAATTGCACGTACCGAAAAGGTAAACGATTCAGAAACGTTTGCTCGATATCAAGGAATTTAATTGTTACGCAATTAATTACCACGAACCGGATATCGAGTCACTCGATGCAAACTGGGAACATTTATTTTAGTCACGCTGTCTAACCTATACGACTCGTTCTTTCATTCTAGACAAGTCCGTTGTTATTTTTTGCAGCTGCGTTCCTCACTTGTTGCGACACTTTGTGTGTAATTCTGAAGTCCAATCTAATAGTATTTCTATTTGGGGTTTTATTTTTGTTTTGGTCCAAATGTGCTAAGATTTTAAACTTGCATTGTTTTCTAATTGTGAGACGTGGAACTTCCTGAGTTCTAAAGTTTCGGTCCTGACATTTTGACATGTAGAAGTTCTGAACTTCGTCTTGTAGTTTTGAAGGTCTAAGGAGTTGAAGTCTAAAGATCTCGCGATCCCAAAAGTTTTAGACGTTCAATATACAAAAATTGTGAAGATCTGAAGTCCTATAGGAATAGATCTTTAAAATTCTATAATTTTAAATTTCCAAAGTTGCTCAATCTCAAAATTGCAAAATGACAATAGGTAAAAATTCCTGTGACCCAAAATTTTAAGAGTTCTAAGATTCCTACGTCTCAACATTTCTAGGTCCCAAATTTCCTATATCCCAAAATTGCTATACCACAAGTTTCCTATATCCCACATTTTCTAAGTCCCAAAATTCCTATACTCCACATTTCCTATATCCCAAAATTCCTATACTCCACATTTCCTATGTCCCAAATTTCCTATACCCCACATTTCCTATATCTCAAAATTCCTATACCCCACATTTCCTATATCCCAAAATTCCTATACTCCATATTTCCTATATGCCAAAATTCCTATATTCCACATTTCCTATATCTCAAAATTCCTATACTCCACATTTCCTATATCCCAAAATTCCTCTACCCCAAATTCCCTATATCCCAAAATTCCTATCTCCCAAATTTCCTATATCCCAAAGTTCCTATCTCCCAAATTTCCTACGTCCCCCAGTACAAACCCCTAAAACCCCAAAATCCCAAATAACCAATCTCCCAAAATTCCACCCCCCCCAAAATCCCAAATAACCAAACTCCCAAAATTCCACCCCCCAAAATCCCGAATAACCAAACTCCCAAAATTCCACCCCCCCCAAAATCCCCAAATTTCCCACATCTCCAAATCCCTATACAAAACCATATCACCCTACAATTTACATAACTCCAGAACAAAACCCGTAAAAAGTATGGTCGTCGTTTTTCATGATCGTGCCGTGCTCACCTGTGTCCAGTGCGTGCGTGGTATTAGAATCGGGATGAGAGTACGAAGACGAGTGCCGATTTGGCCGTTTTACGCATCTATTAGAAGTATTCGTGGAGCGTGTTAAGACGACGACGAGCGATATCGTCCACGAGACGTATCGTCGAAGGTTGGGCTCTGTTGCATTGTAAAGTTTATACGTACGTCTAACACCGTTGATTACTTTAAGTCCATTATTAATCCTAAGACTTCTAAGTAAGGCATTATTTCCGTGCGTGCCCCGGACGCACGTTCCTCTCCCGCTCTGTACATTTTTGCCGTGCCGACGAAATGCTACGTCGACGTTGGCGTCACTTTCGACGCCGCGATTCATCGTTTACACCGACATCCCTCTTCGTATGTCGCGCACACGTTAATTAATCTTAAGACCCGCGTGCGTAACATCGCGATCATTCTCTGATCATTCTCTGATTTCATTGATACATTCGAATATTGGGTCGCTGAGAGTAAATCTTGTCAAGAATTTTTTTTAATAAACAACGATCTATAGAATAAACATATCGTCACGAACGAATTATGATTTCAGACTAAATAACTTGATTTCAATTTGTGCCATGAAGTGGGAGATGAATGTGTTATTTGTCAAGATTTACACTGAACGATCCGGTGTTTAAAAAGCGTGCATGAGCTGTTAATCGTTTGCAATCGTTGAACCTGCTGCCGGCGCCATGACGGCAGGCGATGACTGACACGTTATTTAAAATGTTTTCGCAATCGTTCAGAAGCGTATGAGCTTGATTAAAAAAGAAAGAATGAGCATCGACCGTGCTCGAGCGACGAATTCGAGCGTTCCCTCAGACTGATTTCGAAAGTAAAAATAACTTTAGTTTAGAATCCGAACGCACACGTTCGTATCGTGTTCCACGAGTTCCAATTCTTCCACGACACTGCCATTTCGCAGACTCGAACGTGCCAAATCGATGGCCGACCTCCTATTTCCGGGAAAGATAATAATTGTTACGCGATTTTTCTCTTACCGTTAGCAAGCTTTTCCACGTGTTTCTAGGATTAAAAAAAGAGCGTCTTTTCGATAAACTTTACGGTCGATGACCTTTTTGATGAATTTCACACCTAAGTTCCAGGAGAGTGCGCGACACTGCGAAGACGAGGGCATAGGTATACGTATATATATATAAATTTATATAAATATATATATGTACTTAAAAGCGCGTGTAAGCGCACACATACGATACATATATATGAATGTATATACGAGAAAGCACGTCAATCAAACTCGTAGAGTTCGATTAATTTGTTAAACCCTTTTTCGGGATGCGGGTATCGTTTATCGTAACGATAACAGTTTTGTACATTTTTTCTTATGTCACCGACCGACTAACGTCCGATAAACGAGGACTGCATACATTTTATCCGGATTCTTTCGATATCCGATTGTTTTCGCTTCTGGGAATCTCTGGCTTCCGGTTAAACTCTCTTTGCATTCCTCTTTACTCTCTGTCGAATTCTTAAATTTTCTAGGGAATTTGGGATTCATTTAAAACTTCTACATTTCTTCTACAATTCACCTAGGGTGTTTTTTCACTCTCTGTAGAATTCTAAGATTTACTAGGGAATTTGCAATTCATTTAAAACTTCTAAGTTCTTCCTACAATTCCCATAGAGTGTTTCTTGGCGCTCTGTAGAATTCTAAAATTTCCTAGAGAACTTTGGGATTCATTTAAAGCTTCTAAATTCTTCCTACAATTCCCCTAGGGTGTTCCTTGATTTTTTGTATAAGTCTGAAATTTCCTAGGGAACTTCGGAATTCATCTAAAGCCTCTAAGTTCTTCCTACAATTCTCGCAGGGTGTTTCTTCACTCTCTGTAGAATCCTAAAATTTCCTAGGGAATTTGGGATTCATCTAAAGCTTCTAAATTCTTCCTACAATTCCCCTAAGGTGTTCCTTCATTCTTGGTATAATTATAAAATTTCCTAGGAAATTTGGAATTCATCTTAAACTTCAAAGTTCTTCCTACAATTCCCCTAGGATGTTCCTTGATTTTTTGTATAATTTTAAAATTTCCTAAGGAACTTTGGGATTCATCTGAAGCTTCTAAGTTCTTCCCACAATTCCGCTAGAGTATCCTTTGATTTTTTGTATAATTTTAAAATTTCCTAAGGAACTTTGGGATTCATCTGAAGCTTCTAAGTTCTTCCCACAGTTTCCCTAGAATATCCTTTGATTCTTTGTATAATTTTGTAATTTCCCTAGAAAATTTAAGGTTCCAAATTTTTCTACAATATCTAAACTCTTCCTACAATCCAATATTTCCAAGCTCAAAATTTTCTAAGCTTCCCTAAATTTTTCTCGAGTTTGGTATAACTAAAATAAATGAGTTACCGTGTTTTTGTGGTAATGTAACTTTGTTTCTACTGCGAGAAGCCAGAAATTCTTGGGACTCTACTGCCAATCATTTTCTCTCCGTTAATCGTTGGATCGAACGATCGAGCCCCACGATGCTACGAACGGTACGTTTTAATTAAAGCGGTGACGTCACTTGGAACATCTCGAAATACATTGCACGCATCGCGTTGCACTCGCAATGCACGTAATCGGGCGTACAAGAGAAAAAAGAAAGAAGTTAATTACCGAACGACAGAAAATCCACGAGCATCGAGGTTTCACGCGAATAAATTCCGACGATGTAAAGATTGTAAAATTGTAATTTCAAGCAACGAATCGTGAGTTTGCAAAGATGGACACGAAAAAAGATCGAGAAATTTACACTAAGAAAGACAGACTCGTTGGATCCATTTACCGGTGTTACACGGTGTTTGTTAATTAAGTTCCCTTTGGGTTTGTATGCGGAACCGCGTTTATTTTCAGTCAAGTCAGTATTTGAAGTTACGTCACCGATTTGACCGCGTTTGCGAACGAACGAAGGCGTGGGGAGTGAGCAAATCAAACGAACAATTATTACTGTAACTACTATTAGCATCGTTGTAAAAAAATACAATAATAAAAGATGAGAGATAAGAAAAGCGAGGAAACAGAAATCGTGTGAATGTGAATAGCGTGTTTGTGTAGACCCTGAAAATCTTGTAGCATTTCTTTCATTTTTATTTCTATGATCGCGAAAATTAAGTGGCACAACAGTTCAAGGTTCAACTATATTCTCAGTATGTTGACAGGAGCGAAAAATTGTTGGATCGAGAGATCGACCCAGATCACTCGATCGTTTCAAATCAGTGTTGATCGATTCGATCAATCCTGATTTCATTACATAAGTCTGCACATCTTGAAGCATTAGGCAACTTTTGGGTGGACCCAATTTGATAAGATTGCAAAATTTCAAGTTGTTAAAGCTACTAAATTTTTATTTCGTGAATTTTGAAATTCTCGATCGTTTGAACATCGAAATTTTTAAGTTCAATTAGCATGATTTTTCCAAACACCCAAACTCCTAAAAAATCGATCTGAATTTGATATAGTTCAAGTACACAAGCCCAAATAATAGTTACAAATGTAATTTAATAGAAAACGTACAATAAAGACATACTGAGGACAGAATTTGATATTGAAAGAATTCTCAACTAATATCCAGTCAATTCGGCGAAGGTGGAGTCCATGTCGTCGCAGATGTATTTGTATTTTTCTTTTTCCCTGAACAGGAAATCTACAAACCACAAGTGATGCATTAGAATGTCTTCTTAAATAAATTTGTTATTAATCAAAAATGTGAAACGTCAGATTAAGTACCTTCTCTCGCGTCCAGTTCCTTGGAGAATACTTTAACCATCTTTTCTGCGATGATAGCTCGCTTCTCTGCAGTTTTTAATTTCACCTTCAAGTCTTTTAGTTGAGCTTTAAATTCTTCCACCCTTTGATTGGCCTATAATTATAAAAACCATCAAATCACATGCAAGTTTTATCGAAAAAATTACTGACTACAGTAGAAGTGGAAATATGTGGTAAGACTGTAATGGTAACTAAAGGTGAGTCTCGTTATATTTCCACGCATGAAGGTACAGTAGTAAACTTTATAGAATCAGTAATATATTGTGGTGATGAAAAATACTTTTCTTTTAATATTGCTACGTCTATCACCTGTCTATAGATGGTGGAAGAAAGTAATTAGTATGTATAGAAATTTGTACAAAGGCAATATAACGTGAGTCCACACAACATCTTTTTAATCTAACTTTGTAATCTCACCCCTATAATATTCACCATGTTATTAATACAAATTATTAAACTAACAAAATACCTTTTCTTCCGACACTTCCAAAGATTTCAATATATTGCCCACAATGAACAGTTCATCCTCCCGTTCCGTGATCTTCCTACAAATCACACATCCTCTAAACAAAAACTTTCTAAAAATTACCCATAAACAAAGTTCTATAATTCCATAATTACATACGCTTCGCTAGATTTCACCCTCTCCTCAGCAGCCTCTAATTCATCCTCTACAAAGGCTAATTTTCGAGAAATCTCGTCCGACTTTGTATCAGCATCTTCGGCGATAAGTCTCGCTTCTTTCAGCTGAGCCATTAGTTGATCCATTCTCTCCTCGTCTTGTTTGCTCCTGTTTTCCAAAACTTTGCAGATACTACGAAAGAGGAACAATGACTCTCGTCAAGACAAAACGTCGAAACGTTGGAAGCGTTTCTTTGATTAAAAACGAACCGTTTTGCATCCTCCGCCGTTTCCATTGCCTGCGCGAGCTTTGTTTGCGCCGTCAGACGACGTTCTTCAGACTTTTCTAGGTTCTGCAGGCACTGCTGCATCTTTCTGTTCAAAACTGCCAACTCCGACTGTGTCTGTCCTCGGCGGGCAAAAAGAGGAGATATGTAGGCTTCAAAAGGGAGATTTGCATTTTTGTTTATTTCAGGATTTGGGGTTTGGAGTTTGGGGATTTGGGGATTTGGGGATTTGGGGATTTGGGGATTTGGTGGTTTGAAGATTTGGGGATTTGGGAACTTGGAGATTTGGAGATTTGAGAATTTGGAGAGATGGGAATTTGGAGAGTTGGAAATTTGGAGAATTGGGAATTTGGAGAGATGGGAATTTGGAGAGATGGAAATTTGGGGAGTTGGAAATTTGGAGAGATGGGAATTTGGAGAGTTGGGAATTTGGAGAGATGGGAATTTGGAGAGATGGAAATTTGGGGAGTTGGAAATTTGGAGAGATGGGAATTTGGAGAGTTGGAAATTTCGATAGTTGGGAATTTGGAGAGATGGGAATTTGAAGTGATGGGAATTTGGAGAGATCGGAATTTGGAGAGTTGGAAATTTGGAGAGATGGGAATTTGGAGAGTTGGAAATTTGGAGAGTTGGAAATTTGGAGAGTTGGGTATTTGGAGAGTTGGGAATTTGAAGTGATGGGAATTTGGAGAGATCGGAATTTGGAGAGTTGGAAATTTGGAGAATTGGGAATTTGGAGAGATGGGAATTTGAAGTGATGGGAATTTGGAGAGATCGGAATTTGGAGAGTTGGAAATTTGGAGAATTGGGAATTTGGAGAGATGGGAATTTGAAGTGATGGGAATTTGGAGAGATCGGAATTTGGAGAGTTGGAAATTTGGAGAATTGGGAATTTGGAGAGATGGGAATTTGGAGAGATGGAAATTTGGGGAGTTGGAAATTTGGAGAGATGGGAATTTGGAGAGATGGAAATTTGGGGAGTTGGAAATTTGGAGAGATGGGAATTTGGAGAGATGGAAATTTGGGGAGTTGGAAATTTGGAGAGATGGGAATTTGGAGAGATGGAAATTTGGGGAGTTGGAAATTTGGAGAGATGGGAATTTGGAGAGATGGAAATTTGGGGAGTTGGAAATTTGGAGAGATGGGAATTTGGAGAGATGGAAATTTGGGGAGTTGGAAATTTGGAGAGATGGGAATTTGGAGAGATGGAAATTTGGGGAGTTGGAAATTTGGAGAGATGGGAATTTGGAGAGATGGAAATTTGGGGAGTTGGAAATTTGGAGAGATGGGAATTTGGAGAGATGGAAATTTGGGGAGTTGGAAATTTGGAGAGATGGGAATTTGGAGAGATGGAAATTTGGGGAGTTGGAAATTTGGAGAGATGGGAATTTGGAGAGATGGAAATTTGGGGAGTTGGAAATTTGGAGAGATGGGAATTTGGAGAGTTGGAAATTTGGAGAGTTGGAAATTTGGAGAAATGGAAATTTGGAGAGATGGAAATTTGGAAAGTTGGAAACTTGGAGAGTTGAAAATTTGCAGAGTTGTGAATTTGGAGAATTTTTAAATATGAAAATTTGAAATTCGTTAATTTGGGAATATAAGAATCCAGAAATTTACCTAAAGGTAGTGCACCCCCATTATCAACTAATCAAATATACGTTTCATCATCTGAAATGACTTAATATAAAAAAACAAATAACCATGAAAAATGAACAAAATACCAACCACGATATACACTCTCTCTTTCTGTTCAAGATCCCTATTCGACTTCTCCAATTGAGCCTTGCTCAGTTCCAAATCGCGTTCCATCTGCACCAGCTTCTTGGCCAGTTCCCGGACCTCATCCCTGAGCTTCTCCTCTCGTCGATTCGCCTCTTTCGCCTGTTGATCGCACATATCGGCCCTGTCCATCGCCAGATCTTTCTCGATCTTCAGGGTTTGCAGGCGTTTCTTGATCGCGTTCATAATTTCGACTTACGCGAAACTATGAAAAATATATTAGATAAACCTTACTATTATAAATCACCCCCTTCTTATGATGTCTGTCCTTTAAAACCAGAATATTATTTCATATTAACATAATTCGAAAAGAATATCAAAATAATGATACTACTAAATAAATAAATAAATAATTGATATTACTACTATGTATTTATATAAATTTCGAAGTTGTAATAAAATAAACTTGATAACTTTTGTTTTATGTGAAAAGAGAACAAACGTTGCAGATAATCGGTAATAAAATATATCATCAAATTAAAATTATAAAATCTATCATCTAATATAGATTGATATTTTTTAAAAGAAGGGCGAGGAATTTTGAAATATTTGAATTTACGTCAAATTTCCTTAAGGTTAAAGCACTTTCTCGCTGCCTTGATAATTCACTTTCGACGACGTTAATAGATTCGATACACTTGAACACTTTACATTAAACGTGTCTCGACCTACTCATGAAAGAAATACGATCTTACATATTACTAGTTTAAAAACAAAATTCGTATAGACGAAATTCTACGGTCTTTCAAAGCAAAGCTCGCGGGTTACTGCACTCGGTGACCGGCGAGGACAATGCTTTATAGACTCAAAGAAATGCAAAAGAACCTAACAGTCCGTTTCTTTAGTTAGACGCAAACGAATTCCTCGACTTCTCCAGACGTTTATACTCTCTTTCCAATCGCTCGATTGACACAAAGCTGTTGGCTCGTTGTTAACAGGTACATGAATCTCAAAGTAACATTAACTTACAAAATGGGAACATTTTTTAATAAAATATTTATTGAAGTTCGTGTGGTAATTGTTAGTTGTATTTGCAATTGAAATGTAGTTTAAAAAATACTTTTTGAATATTACTTTTATGTTACTTTAATTGTCGAGGAAGTTGAAGACACTCTTTTGCAAATTTTTATGACTAATTTTATAAATTATATGTTTTTTATGTTCTTGTGTTGAATATTATGTTTTAATAGTATTGTATGTTGCAACATTATTATTTTGTAAATGGATAGATACATTTGTGATGGAAAAGAAAGAGTTGCTTCGTTCTGTCTCGCCTCTAGAGCCCCCAACGCAGGAAATTATCAAGCTTTAGTGCAAAGACATACACACAAGCAAGCATCAAGTATCAAAAAATTTCGCAATTGAAATAAACAAGTATCAATACTTATATTCGTAAATACTTATTATATATCCCCAGACCCTCAAATTACCAAGTCTATAAATATTTAAATCTCTAAATTTTTAATTTCGCAACTTACTGAATTCTCAAATCATCAAATTTACAAATGTTTAAATTCTTAAAACTTTCAATTTACTAAATTTCCAAGGTAACAAAATTTTGATAATCTCAAGCTTGCAATTTCATAAGTCTCCAAATTACCAAATTCTAAAATTAAAAAATTTTCAAATATCCCAGTGATCAAATTCCTAAATCCCTAGATCTCCCAATGGTCGGATCTGGAAATCCCTAGATTCCCTAATAGTCTGATCCCTAAATTCCCAAATTCCCAAATTCCCAAATTTCCAAATTTCCAGATTCCCAAATTCCCAAATCCCCAAATCCTCAGATCTCCAGCCCCCCAAATTCCCAAATTCCCAAATCCGCAGATCTCCAACTCCCCAAATTCCCAAATTTCCAAATTTCCAAATTCCCAAATTCCCAAATTTCCAAATTTTCAAATTCCCAAATCCCCAAATCCTCAGATCTCCAACCCCCCAAATTTCCAAATTCCCAAATTCCCAAATTCCCAAATTCCCAAATTTCCAAATTCCCAAATTCCCAAATTCCCAAATTCCCAAATTCTCAAATCCCCAAATCCTCAGATCTCCAACCCCCCAAATTCCCAAATCCTCAGATCCCCAACCCCCCAAATTCTCAAATTTCCAAATTCCCAAATTTCCAAATTCCCAAATTCCCAAATCCCCAAATCCCCAAGTCCTCAAATCCCCAAATCCCCAAATCCCCAAATCCCCAATTAAAAAATAAAAATCGCTAAATAATCACACCACCAATTTTTTAAATACCATTTATTGAAAATACAGATTTAAGATATAATGATAAAAAGGGGTATCTTGCTTGCTTTCGTGTTCGGCAACTCCTCGTCGTTTCTGAAAGAAAAATAACCGATACCATGAATCCTATCGGGAAGATCCTGAAGCAACTAAAGGCCAGTTTTCACCGGTCCCGCAGCGTTAGCGTGGTATCAAGCGAAGCAAAGCGATTGTACAATATTAGCAAACTAGCAGTACGCTCTTTATTCATCGTGTTAATTGCAGAATTCGCGTAGCAAGTTATTCATAAAGCCCCTGAAACTGTTCCACGATACACTATAACGAATGAAGCCAGCGTAGCTGAGGCACAGCCGACCGATGCGAGACGTCCGTTGTTAAATGTAGCGAATTAAGCGGAAGAAGCTCAGAATGGCAAAATAAAAAGGAACTCCGTCCATTCGGTTATTATTAATATCCTGTCATCTCCGCGAACGTGGCGTCCATGTCGTCGCAGACAGCCTTGTACTTCTCCTTTTCTTCTCTGAGTTCGTCTGAAACGAAGAAATTAGGATAATTGTAAATAAATTACTGTAAATAAATTTTTATGATAACTTTGATGTGGTCTTTACCTTCCTTCATGTCGACTTCCTTCAACAGCTTCTTCACCGTCCTCTCAGCAAGAATAGCGCGCTTCTCGGCCGCCCTCAACTTCTTCTTCAGCTCCTTCAGCTGCAGTTTGAAGTCCTCTACTCGTTGATTAGCCTAATCGAACAGGTACTCGTTTTGAAAGTAGAATTACAAGATGACCGATACAGGAAACATACAGGTGATATGTCAAGAAGCTAATGTCTGCAAATTTTTGGTACAAGAGATTTATTTAAATATACCTTTTCTTCGGATACTTCTAAGGATTTCACAATATTCTGCACGATGAACAGCTCATCTTCTCGTTCTATAATTTTCCTGCAAAATTACACAACATATCAACGAAGCGCTATGAAGACGTCAGGAAAGGAGAATGTAACATAATTATACAAACGCTTCGCTGGTCTTCACTCTCTCCTCAGCGCCTTCTAATTCCTCTTCAACGAGCTGCAGCTTCTTCGAGATTTCGTCGGACTTCGCGTCAGCGTCCTCCGCTATTAATCTAGCGTCCTTTAGTTCTTGCATCAACTTCTCCATACGCTCCTCGTCTAGCCGACTTCTGTCTTCTAACACTTTACACATTCTGCAAGAAATCAGCTTTTAACATTTTCCGAATTCCGAAATTTACAGACATCTTGAATTTAATTTTCAAATTAATGTCATACTGTGATATCGCCATGTGTGGTATAATTGCATATGGTATTGTGCGTTGTATCATCACATGTGGTGTTGCCATGTGTGGGATTGTTACACATAGCATCATCACGTATGATATCGTCACACGTAATATAACATGTGTAGTGTTATCACATGTGGAATTGTTACATGTAGTGTTACCACGCGTGGAATTGTTACATATAGTATTACCACGCGTGGAATTGTTACATATAGTATTACCACGCGTGGAATTGTTACATATAGTATTACCACGCGTGGAATTGTTATATGTATTATCTTAACGCGTGGTACCGTCATATGTAGTATCTCCACGCGTGGTATCGTCACATGTGATACTACCACGCGTGACATCGTCACATGTGGTATCTCCACGCGTGATATCGTCACATATGGTATCTCCACGCGTGATATCGTCACATGTGGTATCTCCACGCGTGATATCGTCACACGTGATACTACCACGCGTGATATCGTCACATGTAGTATCTCCACGCGTGGTATCGTCACACGTAATACTACCTCGCGTGATATCGTCACACGTGATACTACCACGCGTGATATCGTCACATGTGATACTACCACGCGTGATATCGTCACATGTGGTATCTCCACGCGTGAAATAATCACACGTAAAATTACCATAGCTAATATCACCACATATATTATTACCACACATGAAATTATCATACATGTTATCTCCACATATGAAATCATCACCCATGACATCACTACGTATAATTCCATATACTCAAAAAATAACAAGAAACCTTCGCGCATCATCAGCAAGTTCTGAGGCCCGTCCAAGCTTCGTCTGAGCAGTGAGACGCAGTTCTTCCTTCTTCGTAAGCGACGCCTCGATCTCCTGCACTCTCTTCGTCAAAGTAGTTCGATTTTGTTCTGCCTATAAATTCGTGCATTATAATCACGTCAAGTTCTCAGCATAAATTTATAATTTCTACGTACCCTGGACCATGATTTTTCACATTGTTCCAAATCAGCCGTAGATCGTTCTAAATTTGCCTTGGCGACTTCGTAATCTCGCTCGAGCTGGGCCAGCTTTTTCTGCAGATCCCTTACTTCGTCGTTCAACTTGTCTGCTCGCATGTTCTCCGATCTCGCTTTACTTTCATTCGTCTCCACAGTCTCGTTCGCGGCGTCCATCTCCTTCTTCAACGTCGCAATCTTCTTCTTAATCGCCTCCATGATGACGATTTGTACTTCTCCTTGTTAACGGTTATCCTTCGTCGACTCTTTGATCCTGAGAAATTCAACAAATTCATAAAACACGTGTTACAGGATGTACAATTAGTAGCAACGACTATACTGTATTAATTCTTTGAAGCTCCGTAAAAATACATGAAGACCAAGTTGATAACTATAGTCCATGGATGTTTTTGAACTTTACTTTTATAAAACTGTATAGAATTTTTAAATCGACATTGTGATCTACATCAAATATTTTTTAGTATTGATACAATTTAGGTCAATAACAAAAAATAGATCAAACGGAAGGCAGAAGAAGAATTTACACTGCAGTGGAAGAATAAATGAAATTCTGGAAAATTTAAGGGAATTAAAAAAAAATTCAGAGAATGAAAAATAAGGTTGTTAGCATCGAACGGTGGTGGTTTAAGCCTACCCTCTGGGACACATAAGGGTTGAAGAGAATGCTATCCAACGTGATATTTGTCTGACTACGATCGCAGCTACTACTAGATCATATCTATTGCTAATAAGATCTATTATTTAGCGAGAAGAATTAATAAAAAGAGACTGAATAAGGAATAAATGATAAACTTTGAATTTCGACACAGACCGGTATACTTACTTCAGCCTCTCTTCATAAAACGAACGACACAGCTTTGTAGAAGCTCACGAAAGTTTCACTACTCACCGATAAACAACATTTAATAGGAAACAACGCGGAAGGGAGCACAAGTTAGACCTAAAAAGGGGGACAACACTCACTGTAATCGTGGCGATGATCCGCGATGAGAATGCACAACCGGATGCCTTCGAAAGCTAAGCTAAAATAAAACGAAACCGGCGTCGCGAGCCTCCTCGAACTTCTCGATCCAATCCAATTCTATAATTGCTTGTCGCCTTGTTGGCTGTCGTCCCGATTTTATCTCGGCTGTTCACTGGCTGATTTCTACTCTCCGCAGTGGCTACCAACGAAACGCGATCTCCACCTCCCTTATGCTATTCTCGTCTCGAAATTCCGTTACTGTTTCCTATCGACCACGTAACCGTCTCTGCACGATAAACACCATACCGAAAAGCATTCGTGCTTTCGTTTCACGACATCTTGAAAATTTCATTCGTCTCGTTTTGCGGTGGTACCTTTCGAACGTTTGAATTTCCCGCCCTCTGCGCTGGCTGCGCGCGACGCAGCGAACGCGCCAAAATGAGATAGTTTCCGGTAACGCGCCACCCGAGAAAACCGCGGCAATTCTGTTCTCGTTTATTTCAATTGTTATAGTTTTAAGAATTTAGTTAGAAGAATTGAATTAGAAGAATTAGCTTGAGAAGAACGAGGTTTGGTGAGTTTAAATATATTAATAGTATTATTACTCAATATTTTTATATCGTGAAAAGAACATGCAACGCAAGATGTATTTGTATGATGAGAAATTTCGATAAGGGTCTGTGGCCCGATTTAGCGGTACGTTTGAATGTGATTACCATTCGTAAATGAAAAATGTATACAGTGCTATTTAAAAGATAAAAGTATATAATACTGCAAATAAATATATGTTACCTGTAGTTTTCACTTGATGCTCTAATCCGTCACTACATCCTATCGCAAGTTACGTTACACAAAATAATACACTATGAAATTCTTGTATGAAGCAACATAATTTTATTTGACATCTTTTTTCTAATATAAAAGGAATTACACATTCATTCGGCTAATGTATTTCTTATCTCACAAATAAATGCGCAGTGTATGGTTATACGGAATTCGTGTTAGCTTTCACTACCATCGACCGGATGTTTTTACAGAGATTCCCGACAAGAAACTTAAGTACATTCTTATTCAGTCGAACGGCACGCAACAAATGTAGAATTTAACGCAACTTCTTCACAGTTTAACAGCGTTTTAAGAGCACGATTTCTTAATGTAATTTACGATTGTAGAAACTTATAGAGGTACTTCTATATTACAGTAACGCTATCTTTCTTTTCTTGTCAATATTTTTTGTTTGGATTCAAGAGAACGCTAACACGATATTTCTATTTTGATTATAATCTTACGAAATCGATCTGCTAACGATACATCTCAAACTAATTACTGCATACGGTTTTAAGTTTTCCAAGCGAATTTACAGGCCAGTTTTAGAAAGAGCAATTTCGTATGACATCGAAGTTATAAAAACTAGAAAAATGTAAACGCTATTAATTACAACAAAATGAAAATCTCTATTGTTCTAGTGTTTCCTTTTTATACAAGATTAAATAACAATTATCGTAGCCTTACAATTTCTTATGCACAAATGTCTTTGTTGCGTGTACCTTCGTGCTGTTAAATTTCGCCTTAATAATATTCATTACTCCTACGTTGTACTAACAATAAGCAAACATTATGAAACGCAAATACTAAAAGCGTATTCAGACAAATTGAATGTGTCGTTACAAGATCAGTGGTAGTTGCAATGGAATTGCATCGCAAGACGACTAAACAACGTGTTGTACAATTAATTAACAATACCGAGTGATTGAAGATCTTCAATCGAACATTTCTGTACGATCAAACGCGTATAGTGCGAAAACAGTCCATCAGCAAACAGGAAACATTAGAAAATTCAGCATGTTGAACATCAACGTGTAAATGTTAGATGAACACAGTGCGTGAGAGATGCATACATTAATTCAAAAAAGTACTTCGGTACCAAAATATGCAATAAGTCTGTGTCGCTATACAGCGTGTACGGCAGGTGTTCATTTCACGATAAACACATACTTAGAAATAGAACACATAAACAACAGAAGTATCTTAGATACGCCTTATATATATAAATTGAAAATTATTCGGTATGTATCGTTCTAATTGGAAAGTTCATCTTCAATACAAAGTAACATTGTAGCAATTTTTGTATCAAACGTTGTGTTAGGTAAAGCACGAATATAGACAGTACCGCCGAATGTTCAAATTTAGAAATTGTTCAGTTTTCAAATTTTAGTTTTTAAATTTAAGAATTTCAAGGCGGTTCCGGATATAAATTATACTTTACTAACACGTTTCAAGTAGTCCAATAGAGATTACATAATAAATGTTCAAAGGATAAATCTCCTAGAACAACCAATTTCACTGGTTTTATGATGTAACATCCATGCGAGCCGCATACGAACAGTGCACCATGTTTAATGATCTTAAGTCTAGAAAACACAATCTTAAGATGCATCGTTACTAAAATTTGTTGAACGAGCACTTATGTTGTAAGCTTCAACTCGTTAATAAGGTTTTTGTATAAAAAAGGATGAATTTTGAGAGTCCAGAGAAACATTTGATCGCTTGAGTACGATGAGCAAGTATCGTTTATGGCACATAACATCGTAAGAATGTCGATTTAGTAAAAGATGTAAGAATAGAGCTTCCATACTTAGATGTAGAAAAAGCAAATAATTGTGCGAACTGTTTCACTTCTTTCTCGCGTAAATAGTTTCTAAATATCATAGAAAGCAGCGCATATTGACACTGAGTTTTGGCATGGTATAGTATATATGCATATCAAGAAAAGCTTTCAAAACAATATTAGTATCAAATACGATAATATCGTGTTTCACAGTGTGTAAATGCATTTTCGTATGGGTCACACGCGTGCATACATATTACTTAGAATTATTTGTATAATATAAATTCACTTAAGAGACTCGATGAACGATGCAATTAATCGTACGATGTAATATCACAATACAAACGCTTACAAGTATACTATAAACGTAAAAAAGAAACTTTAGTCGTTAAAAATCATTTTTTTGTAATAAATCTGATTAAGTAAATATTTCAAAACCTAACAGAAACATAGCATTATAAATACTTTTCTTTTATTATGCTAACAAGTATACTTAAATTATTCACTTTAGCAATGTAAAAAACTCCGTAAGAAAAACATACGCAAATTGACGTAAATTATGCAACATTATCGAATATAAGATATACGTACGTTATATTAAAAGAAATTTGTGCCACTCAAAGTGCATTCTAACGTTTTGTATATAAAAGTACATATCAGTGCGTGTGCATTTGAACATACTTCTAACGAAGTACACAGAAAATGTACTATCATAATGCACGTAAGTACTTAGAGCTTAAAGAGCAATGCACAATTTACGTTGGGCGGAAGCAGTGATGTAATAAGTCTATCAAACCCATCATATGGGAAAAAATTTGCTTCAGAAATCCGTTCTTAAAAAGTATTAACGCACCATTGATAAATGCAACATTGTCATCTGGAAAGATTAGATCCTGTTTCGGAATCAGTACCTGTTGATAATATGTATGTTGGTGTATAAGAAAGCAAAAGGTGTACAGCATCTTCTCGATCAAGAGCTCGTAGCTGCTGTATTAAAGAACCTACAGTGCAATCGGTGCCTGCATTGTTAAGTAACCTAGTGGAAAGTGAATATACGTGATTAAGTAATAAAAAATGGAACTGATCGTGAAAATTGTCACCTACCTTAATGTTGGACTATCTACTGTACTATCTAACTGAGCGACTCGATCTCCCAAACCAAGTCTTACAGCGAGTAAACACCAATCTCTACCGTGACGATCAGGAGGATCCAGCATCTGAGCTAATCTTCTTTGAACGGCAGGTTTGATATACTTTATTGGCTGTTTTGGTCCAGGAAGACAATTTTCTATCAAAGGTAATCCACATCCTACTATTTCCCATATCGTCTCTTCTTTACCGTTCAAAGGATTTTTGAGAGTAGCTTCTTCAAGACCTTTATCTATCAACGCGGATATCATCGGTGCTGGTTCCCAGGAATGTATAATCTATGAAGTTCAAGAAGAGAGAATATTTAATACATTTCAATTAAACAGAGATTCTGATCATGAAATAACTCACTTCATCATATTCTCGCAGCTGACTAGGACTTAACCAATGTCTTTCTAGTAACATCCCAGGAGCAACTAACTCTATAGTTGTCTCAACAGCATCGAGAATGATACTGAGCAGAGCAAAACACTGAGCACTGGTACCTCGTGGACCACGCACTCTTATTTCTACGTAACTTTGGTCTTCGTCTTCAAAAGTGATTATACTTTCGCAAGGTCCGATACATAATTTTGATCCACGCCACCATTGATATAAATCTGAATTTGATGGATCCCACGACTGAGTGATTTTCCTTAACTGTGACTGTATAATATGTTGTCATTAGAAGATTGGTTATAAATATATGACATTATGAAATTATTATTCCACATACTTGCAAGTGTGGGAATATTGCGATTAAATGATATAAAGGTGCTTCGGATGGAGAAAGACGAAGACCAGTATGAGGTAAAACATTGGAACATGGGTTCCATGGCTCCCATAATCCTGGTAAACGTTCAACGAGATTCAAACACGGTATTTCATATTCTACTTCATCATCGTCCACTTCACACTGGAATAAATTATATAGTTGTGCTAAGTGCAATGATGAAAGGTATGCAACTCTTGTGAGAAGTAATATAAATTTTCACCTACCGGCACACATAAATTTACAGCTTGCAGAGCTTGTAAAGCTTGTCCTGCAGGACAAGGACAGCGAGCCTGAAAATCCTCTAAAGCATAAACTCCTGTTGTACGACCTCCAAGACGACCCCTCTGTTCAGGACTTAATTGCCAATTTATGACATCCTGCCAAAACCATTCTGGACTTAAAACTATTAAATTTCCAGGAAGAAGCATACATTCCCCTAAATTCTAAAAAATAATAACTACTTAATATATTAAGAATTAAAAATAAATTATGAAAATATCATATTAGTAACACGAACCTGTAACTGTAATCCAAGATGTCTACAATGTTCTAAACAAACTAATGGATTAATTTTTCTCACTTCCCTCAAAAATTCCTCCTGTGTAAGCATTACCAGAGGTACCTCTAAAGATTGCACATACGACCTCCAAGCTTCAGCAAGACCGGTCCACACTAATGCGCTCTATAATAAAATATTTGAACCTTTACTGATAAAATATAGTAGAAAAAGTATGAAGTAATACACTGATGCAGAAAATATATACAAGGGTAGTATTTTTTAAAATTGCATTGGACAGTAGTGCATGTATGTATTAATGGGACAAAGCATTAGAGCAGTTATTAAATAAATTACAGCTTCATTATACGCATCACTTTTATCAAAGGAATTGAGAAATAGTTCGACCTGTTTATCAAGATTCGCCAAGGGCACATACGAGGCCGCGGCCCGCGGCGTGTCACGTCGAAGAATACTTTCTGCAACTTCCGGTCCTTCCTACATCATGCATTGCATGCAGTAAGGCTGATGTTAATAAACGTTAATGACCAAATAATCAGCAACTAAAATATATGTTGTTAGTAAATTGATCATATGATAGTGACAGCAGATATAAAAAATTTAATGTATAATATATATATCTTTAATCAAGGAATGTGCTTATTTAAATGTTACAAGTAACTTTTTCAATATAAAAAATACAAATTATCTTTGGTGAGCTTAGTTACTTGTACGTGTATCGAATGAACCATGCATCATGAATGACCATGGATTACAAAAGTGTTTGCATTATATTTAAAAATCAATACTTTGTTCAACATGGTATTAACATCGCAGGATTTGAAATTAAATAGATGTGAATAGTACAAATGTAATTAGCATTATGCAAAATGAAATGATCCGATTCTAATCAGAACCGTTTTGAAAATGTTAATGCACACATTTATTTGCATGCTGTACAAACAGTGGCGTTATCCCTGTAAAAAATGTGGAAGTATAATTATGTACACGAATATATCAAAGTGAACCTGAACATTTTAAATTCAGAGTATTCTACAGTAATTTCGCGTTGGTACGTGACTTGACTGAACGAGTCGCTCGTGCAACCAAGCATGAAATGATTGAAGACTTAGGTTTTGATAACCATAGATATTGATTAACTTGAGTTGAGATTTTTTTAATATCGTTCTCATTAAAACAATGATTTTCTTTTTAATAAAACTGCAGTAATAATATACATTAGATGAATAACATATTTGGATTCTATTCTCAATTCAAATCAAGCAAATCTTTACTTTTATTTGAATGTGATACTATGTATGCCATGCAATAAAAATTTTGTATAAAGTATCAAAATCTAAATTTGCAAGATGTAGTTTAAATTAACAAAGTATCAGAAATGAATACGGATTGTCAAAAAAAACTCGGTTAAGACTGAGAGACTCGTAATAATAATTTTGTTCGGTATATATTTTACAAATGATGGATAATAACAAAAAATTGTTTCGCAGTATGTATAAAATAATGTGAAAAGTGTATTAATTTTAAGAAATCATATAATCACTTCACCTCTAAAAACTCCATCCTTGCATTATTCAAGTAAGATCTTAGAAGTTTTAGACCAGGACTAGAAGGGTTAGTTGCATCTACTGCGACCATTTGAGGTTCATCTCCCAAAACTGGTGTAAACTCTTTCAAAAAAGGTAAAAGTGGTGCAAGAAGATTACCACTATTTGAATTTGGGGCAAGGGGTTCTGGAGCATAAGTTCCAACTAAGATTACTTTAACGTCATTGTATTTGCCGCCAAAACCTATTTAATAAAATAAATTAGGTAATGCATCAAAACTCTAGATAAAAATCCTAGTTGCGCTAATGATTACAAAACAAATACAGATAGTTGAACTTACCAAAATTAGTAGGTGCAATTCGATCTGAAATAAATCGCAACCAAAATTTGACTTGTTGAAGTTGTACTGTAAGAGGTTCTCTAAGACTGACAGTGATAAGGTGTACGGCAGGTTGTTGAAAAGTAAGTACATAGTGATATGATGCTAAGAAGTCTTCACGACCGCACAATTCCCAAAAGATACATTCTCCACCTGAATAATTGAAGCCATGAAATGTATATATCCCCAGTTTTATCTTGAAAGAATTTGAAAGATCAGTTTCCTTACCTACATTACCACGACTCCAATCTACTCCTTGTGTGCCTTCATATTCATTGTCACTGTATTCAAAACTAAGTGACCCATGCTTACTAGTTACGTCTAGTTCGATACTTGGTTCTCTCTAAACATAAATAATTATTTTTATAAAAATTCGTATTAATAAGCAAGACATTAAAACTCAGTTAACTACCTTTGCAGTATAATTCTGACTTCTTGATCTTCTGAAAAATCCAAAACTGAAGAGTCCTGATTTTAAAGAGTTGATTAGAGATGATTTTCCCGATGCACAATGTCCTAAAAGTCTTATGTGTAAACGATCTATTGGTCTGTGTGTTGGTTGCAGCTGTTTGATGTAATTTTCGCGTTGAACCGGCTACAATTGAAATCAATGTTAAAGCATGGAAAATATAAATGATAATGATCGTTTCCTAACATACGTTTCGGAGCTTATCCAACAGTGATGCGATATCAGGATGTCCATATTTAATTGCTGTTACATCTGCTCTAATCCCACGATTTGTCTTGTCAACGTCACAACCAGCAAGGCACAAGTGTCTAACAAGATTAATGAAACCATGCCTAGCTGCTACGTGCAGTGGTGTTAAGCCCTTTTTGTTTGGTGTATCCAGATCTATCCCACTTTCTATTAAAAAAGTTACCATTCCTTCATCTCCTGTTTCGCATGCTAAGTGTAAAAGTGTATCTTCTTTCTGTTTGAAGGAAAATAACTGTTCATATTTTATCTGCATTGCATAGGTTTACAATATATATAATACAAAAGGAATCTCACAGAATCTTTTACATTCAGTGGTGCTCCTTGCAGTAATAACTGAGAAACAGCCTCAATACAGCCTCGTTTAACAGCGCTAATCATAGCTTCACCAAGACCTTGAGAGGCTTCTGATTCCTACAGAATAAGAAAAAAATACAGATATCAAATGTTGTATTTCTCATACTTATTGTGTTTTGTCATTAATTTTGCTACAATGTACGATCGATACATGTAAAAATACGAATAAATTTTTTCTTAAAAATAAATCAATATACAAAGTTTGTCTCAATGATATTTCATAGTACTCTATACAAAATTTGAATTATATAAGATACATATAAATATTAACTTAACATAATAAAATTTATATATAACTGTACAAATACTAACATTAGGCACGCGGTGTAAATAAATAAACATTATTTTATATAAATAAAAAAAAACAATATGAGCGATTAAAAATATAAATTATAATCAGCTCTGGTTATTACAAATAAAAGTATAATATTGTATTCAGGAACAGACCGTGAGGATCCAAGGATGTTTAAGGCACGATTCTGCAGTTCCTCTTTCTCTGAAAATGAGAAACAAATTTTATGATTACTACCTTTTATTTTAAATTAATGCTATCTTTCTTAAAATTATTTTTTGAACTTACTTTGGATCCTTGATCAACAAGGATCGTATGAAATCTTTGGCAATTTCAGATACTGTACTGAAATACTCATTATCAAACTGGTATTGACAAGCAGCAACATTTGCATAAGTTTCTTGTTTGTCTTCACCTAAGAATGGTGATGCACCACTTAAAAGAATGTATGTTAAAACACCAACTGCCCAAAGATCAGTTCCTAAACTGAGTGGTTCATAATTTACAATTTCTGGAGCAACAAACTCAGGTGTACCAAATAGTGCTCTGTGTTCTGACCCAGGTATTAATCGATGTGAAAGACCTAGATCTGTGTAAGGAAAAAAATTACACATGGTTTTTCAACTTTTTTTTAATACTGAATCAATGTTCAAATTTTAATAATACCTATTAACTTTATACTTGGCATCGGTGGAGGGGTTGATAGAAGAATATTTTCAGGCTTGATATCTAAATGAGCAACTTGATGAGAATGTAAATGATTAAGTGCCATCAAAACTTGACGAACCTATAGAAAAATATAGTTTGTATCAGACTTGTTATTTAAATCATTACTCAAACTACAATTGTTATGACAAGAGTAACTACAAACCACATGTGCAGCTTCTAATTCACCAGATGGGACCCAATGAAAGAGTTCTCCTCCAGAAATTAATTCTAACAGTAAAACAACCGTTGTACCTGTATCTACAACTTTGTGCAATGAAACAATGTTTGGGTGCCTCAACCTTGCTAACAAACCTGCTTCTCGTGCTTAAAATAAAGAAATAAATATTTATTTGTAAAAAAATGAATGAAAATAAAACTCAAAGTACCTACCAATATCTGCTGCTGCCACACCTCTGGCAACACGTCTTTTTCTCATAATTTTGGCAGCATACAGTTCTCCAGTCTTTATTTCCATACATTTTCGGACTATTGCAAATTGTCCTCTGTAATTTATGAGTAAAGAAGTAATTAAAATATATATTCATTATCATTATCAAGAATATGCAAATTATAAGCACTTACTTCCCAATTTCTTCCAATAGTTTATAATTTTTCTCAATTGGTTCATGATGAACCTCCATCAAAGTGTCCCACTCAGGACCTAATTAATAAATTGAAACTTACATACAATTCTGATTACAGTAAAATTGATAACTTGTTTGAAAGAATACTATCTACAAATATTCATTATCAGAAAGAAACAGTAACAACAAACGTTCTCTTTGAACTTTCTTGATGGATAGGTATAAATTATTAAGTAATATTTATTTATTAACAACTGATGTGTACAACCAACGAAACGTAAGACACCTGTCAATCTTGTAGTAAACAGATACGAAAATCACTTCCGTACACGTTTAACCACGTGGATGTAATCTTACTACAAAGACAATAATCGTATATTAAACAGATCGCTGACACCGCTTTGCATCCCTCAATTGTATTAAATTATGAAAAACTATTAAACATCTGCCAACCTTAACAGAAACATTATTACGATAATACATACGAAGATCAGAAACGGTTAAAAGAAAATAGAGTTTTACCACCGTTCAAAGTTCCCAATTGGCGAGACGTGCCTGGCATCATCTCACGTTCATGCTCATCGTTCAGTTTATTCCGGTTTATCCGAACAGTTCTAAGATTCGCGAAGAGCCGTTACGAAAATTATGTCCCATTCGTCGGCCTTCACTCATGCCGGCCACCCCACACATACAATCGATATACCTGTGTCGCGTGAAACGCCACCTTCCTTAAAATTCATACTTATATTCTGTTCAACGAAAGATCGTACTCATCGACAAATTTCTGTTTGTTCTACGCATGTCAGCACCTATACTCAGTGATCCAGATATCTAAAGCTTCAAACTCTCAAATTTTCAAAACTCCAAATTCCTATCTTTCCACTTTCTGAAATCTACAAATTTTTAAATTTTTGAATCTCAAATTTTCCAAGTTTGCAATTTCCTAAACTTCTGAACTTCTAAATTTCTGAATTCACAAATTTGTAAATCTCCAAATCCCTAAATTCATAAATTTCCAAATTTGGTCATGCCTGTCGTGTTATTCGCATGTTTTGCGCACCTTGTATATACCCGACGAATTAGAAAGCGTATGGCAGTAGGGGAATATCAAGTGGTGAGAAACATACTGAAATTAGTCGCATTGCGCGAACTGAGTATAATTTCCCATTGAATGAATAATGCATATGATTTTATAGAATCTGTACTTTTATTAAATCACGCATATCGCTTTCGCACCACCGATCGTTATCTAAAATTTTAGTTACAAGATAATGTTACAATGGAAAGACTTTGTATTGAAAATTAAACAAATGGTGATACATAAAAATCATGTAACATCATTGTATAATTCATAAAACTAGAATTTCATGAATTTTAATAAATACAAAACAAGGAAACATCCAATTTAAAATAATAACATAGACAATTAAAGCATATTGTATCAAACTTCAATACTTTATCAAAGCACATACTTTTTATTAAATATGAAAATGCATACAAGCAGCCAAGTAACGCTTTTTATGAATATGAATTATGTTATAATAAAACTATTGTGGGCATGAATTATTAAATGTTAATACAAATAAAAGTTTTTAAGTGCAATATAAATTTAAGATTTCTATTCCTTCATAGATTCTTCTGAAACTTGTGCAGGTGGAGTAGGCTCATTATCTGCTTTCTTCTTTTTGCTTCCTGACACAATGTCATCAATTCTTAGTAACAAAATGGCAGTTTCGATAGCGGTTTTATACGTCTGTAACTTCACGGATAAAGGCTCCCAGATACCACGTTCTTTCATATCTACCAATTGACCAGTTTCTCCATCAATACCCCATGTTATTCCTTCAGTTGCGTGTTTTGCACGTAACGCAGTTAATGTTCTAATTGTGTTTGCTCCACAATTTTGGGCAAGAGTTCTTGGGATTATTTCTAATGCCTGTGCTACAGCCTTGTATGGCCACTGTTCCACACCTGCAAGCCTTGCTGCTTTTTCTGCTAGAAGTCTGGATACTGCCATTTCTACTGCACCTCCACCTGTGATAAACATAATTAGAAATTGTAACATATATTACTCGCTTATAAAAAAAATTATTAAATAATAAAGTACCTGGTACTAATTTAGGTTCAATAAGAAGATTCCTAGCAACATGAAGAGCATCTTGCAAGTTCCTTTCAGTTTCATTTAGCATATCTTTGCTTGCACCCCTCAAAATTATAGTACATGCTTTAGGATCTTTGCATTCTGTGATAAAGCAGAAGTATTCATCCCCAAGTTTTTTAATCTCAAAAAGACCAGCTTTAGTACCAACATCTTCCTCACGCAATTCATCTGTACGATTAACTACAGTGGCACCACATGCCCTTGCAATTCTATTAATATCACTTTTTCTCAATCTTCGAATTGCAGAAATTCCAGCTTTCACTAGAAAATGTTGAGCTATATCTGATACCCCTTTTTCAGTAATCACTACATCAGGTTTCACAGCTATAATATCTTCACATATCTTCTTAACATACTCCTCCTCCAATTCTAAAATTCTGGTGAAGTCTGTATCCTTCAATATTTCTATATTAGTTTGTGATTCACCTTTCTTATATTCTAAGGAACAATCCAACAAAACTATTCTTGGGTTCTTAATATAGCGTCTCATTTTTGGATGGGTAACATCTTTACTGAACATTACTCCCTTGAGAACAGTACTATCTTCAATACTTCCTCCAGGAATTTTTTCCACTTTTGCATAACGCTTTATGTCTATTTCCCTTCTGCCATTTTCCTCAAACAATACAGTATTAACTGCATCCAAAGCAATTTGACATGCCAAGTCAGACCAACGACCAATAAATTTAGTTCCAACACAAGAATTTATGACTTGAATTAACTTGCTTCTATCATTGCAATCCAAATCTGTGCTGATTTCTTCATTAAGAACAGTCACCATATCTTCTAAAGCTTGCCGAAATGCTCTTATGATAACAGTTGGATGCATATTCTGTTCTAAGAATGGTTCAGCAACAGCTAAAATTTCTCCTGCTAATATAATAACTGATGTAGTACCATCTCCAACTTCTTCATCTTGAGTTCTGGCTATTTCAATCATTGATTTTCCAGCAGGATGTTGTACTGTTATTTCACGTAATATAGCATTTCCATCGTTGGTCATAACTATACCTCCCATTGGATCCATCAACATTTTTAACATTGCTTGTGGCCCCAGACATGTTCTAATGACATCTGCTATTGCCTTTACAGAATAATATATATATAAATCATTTGCATATCAAAATAAATTTATAAAAGTAAATAACACCATAAAATCTGACTATTTAAAGTTAATTTTAAAATAAAAAGTTGATAAAGTACTTGATGTATATATAAATTATTAATATCCTTATTAGAACCGAACAGGTACATCGGAACAAAAAAAAATTACACGTGGGTGTACCAGTGACTGGACAAAACCTTAAAAGGTAAAAACGTTAAAGCATACATTATGAACTCACTTTTCCGGCTTGAATATTTTCTCTCTGTACTTTCCGGCCGGTATCCCGTTTAGTATTTGGACCTGCAATAATTAAAGCACGCAACATCGTGAGAAAAGATATATACAATTGAATATCTAAACAAATGAAAATTAAAATCGTTATTGTTTTAACGCACTTAAAACTACAATCGAAGCAGCCCCTGGCCCGAACATTTTTCTTCAATTCTTTCAACAGTAAAACCTTCTGACAGTAAAAGACAGTTAAGTACACGCCTGATTTTTCCAGAAGAAAACGAGACGAGAACTTGTAATAATTGGTTAGAAATGCGCACAACGATGAGTGTATAGTTCCAAAATGAAATACCCTAGCAGACTACGCGTTGCCACCAGATATACAAAATATTACTATAGTTATATCTGTCACTGGTATTACTATAGAGATAAAATGCATGAATCATATGCTGTTACACACATAGCCACTCATTTATCAGGTGGAAATTTAAGGTGGAATTGTATATAAAGTACATTTAGTCATTTCATAGTTCGTGAATGAAGCTTTATTTGTACCATTATTTTGAGTGATAACATAACATAAATTTTCTTTTTAATTACAAAAAAAAGATTAAATTTTTTAAATAAATAATACATACAACTTTGTTTACAGCTTTAGTCAAGTTAGGTGTATCACTGTGTATAATTGTGCAAAATACACTAATTACACATCAATAATTAATTAAATGTTTACTAGTCTTAACATAGGAATTGTTAAAGCTTATGACATAAAACGAAAATAATGACTGCCGTAATTTCCTCTGTTGCCCCAATTTCCGCCACCTCGTCCACGTGAATTCATTCCATTTCCTCTATTGCCGCTACCTCTGTATCCACCATAATTGTTTCTTGGATAACTACCACCAGGTCCTCCACCACGAGGATTTCCGCGGAAACCACTATTCATTCTCATCATTTTTGCTGGTGTACCATCGTCCGAATGGAAGTTAAATGAATGCCCTCTTGGAGGCCTTCGTGATTGAAAACCACCGCCAGTAATCTGATCCAAATTGTAACGGCAGGCATTCATTCCGCATAATACCTTAATAACGTTTAATACCTTAAAAAAAAAACAAGATGTAAATATTTAAAATCATATTATAAATAATAAAAATTATAAAATATTACTTTTTCTTCATTAGGACTTAATTCTAAAATAGTTTCGGGATCCTTTGCAGCTTTGACGACGAGACTTTCTAAAGCAGGTCGTAAAGCCACTATTGCCGCTGCGTGAGCTGGATCCATATCCAAATTTATCCAGTTATCCAATTTTACTACACCATTAATAAACTCCACTTTTCGAGAACCAAATAGTAATAAATGAATTGGAGACACCATGGTCATTTGCTTACACGATACAGCCCTTGTACGAATCTGAAATGATAAGGTGAAGGAGACAAATAATACAATTATTTAGTCAAGAAAAATATGTTTTACCTTTTCTCCGAATACGAAGAATGGAAATGGGAAATTTTGCTCAAAATTACTGCAATTCACTGAAGTCTTATGAATCAGTGCTGCCTTAGATTCGGTAGTAAGCACTTTTCTTTTTTCTTTGTGATAACAAACATTTGGATAAAGACCCATGCATAACAATGCAGTGATTGTATCAAGACGAACATCTGCCCCAGCTTGATAATTTAATGGAGTAGGACAAAGAGTTTCTTGTGGGAATCCAGCACTTTGTAAAAGTGCTTGTAATTGATTCTGTGTATAAAAAGTACTATTAGCATAAATTTTAATAATAAAGTAACATATATTAAAAAAAGTACCTTAGCTTCCCACGTTACTCTTAGTGTAGGCAAACTTAAATTCTTTGAATCACAAAATGTTTGCTCTGCATATTCTCCGCCTGCTCTAGCTTCTTCCCATGCTTGAAAAGCGTGTAACATTGCTACATGATCACTGTATCTTGCGCCAGCAAACCATTTCTGCTGTGCGGATAAACGTCTTACATCAGGTCCCATATTGTATACTTCTGGAAATGTTGTACTATTTGCCGCCATTGTGGAGAGTGCATCACCAACTCGGAACATACAACCAAGAATCATCATTTTGCCTAAACGTGGCTCTATAGGTAAACGAGCCAATATTTTACCAAGTGGCGTTAACTCATCATTTTTATCTAAGCACTTCATCTCTGAAAGAAATATGCAATGAATATCTCCAGATGTAAATACATTAATGAATATTTGCTTGAAGAAGGAAACATACCACGTAGTATGACCTCGGCTTCAATTACAGCATCTATTGGCGGTGGTTCAATTGCTTTTGATAAAAATTTTCCAATACTACCTAATCTTAATAATTTAATACTTAATGCTAATTCATGTAAAGGTGTTCTGAACATTTCTGGTGTCATATGTTCATCCATTTTATTAAAACGTGCTTTAGAACAAAGATGAAAACAGAAACCTGGTCTAACACGTCCTGCTCGGCCTTTTCTTTGTTCTAAATTTGTTTTACTAGCCCAAACTGTGGCATAGTTTGTCATATTATTGTGAGAAGTAAAAAGCTTCATTTTAGCTTTACAAGAATCTATGACATAGACTACGTCGTTAATTGTGATAGACGTTTCAGCAATATTAGTTGCTAAAATAATCTTCGTCCTTCCCGTTTCTACGGGATCAAAAACTTTGCGTTGATCTTCTCTAGGTAATTGTGAATGTAATGGTATAATTACATAATTCACTCCACCATAAATGGGATGTTGTTGCAAATGTTTCATTAGCGCAAATATTAGATTCCAACCAGGTAAAAAAATTAAAATGGCACCTGGAATACCTTGGTCCTTGATATAACTTAGTAAAGCCTCTATAAGTTCAAAACTTATTTCTTTTTCCGTAAGTTGTGCCATGGCATTTTTTGTTTGAATAGAATAATGTGCATCAATGACTTTATTCAAGTTTTCTTCTGGTTCTCCGTCTGCCGGTAAATCATCTGCATCTCGACTTTTACGTTTCTTGGAATCCATAGGTGGTACAAAATTTGTTAACTGTATACAATCTTCTAAGAAATATTGTTGTACAGGATATGATCTGCCTGGTATTTCTATTACCGGGCAATTATTGAAGTAATTACTGAACAATGTTGTGTCAATTGTAGCTGACATTAAAATAATTCGTAAATCTGGATACATGTGAATCATATCACGAAGAACAACCATAATGAAATCAGAATTGACATCTCGTTCATGAATTTCGTCAACAATAACATGTGAGACACCTCTCAAACCACCTTCTAATTTTCTTAATAGTACACCAACAGTACAAAACAGTATACTACCGTAAGGTCTTGGTAAACAGGATTCAAATCGTACGGAATAACCAATTGACTGCCCCAAATTTTCACGTCTTTCAGCGGCAACCCGATCAGCTACGGATACAGCAGATATTCTTCTAGGTTGCGTAATTGCAACGCTACAAAATGCACCTTGACCTGATGCAATGTAATCATCCAAAATGAATTGGCATACTTGAGTCGTTTTACCGCAACCGGTGTTTCCCCGAATAATAATAACAGGGTTTTCATTAATAGCACTCATTATCTCATTTTTCATTGAGAAAACTGGCAAACTAGATCTTTCTTTAATAATCTGTTGAAGGTTTTCATCCTGTTGCAATCTATCACGTTGTTCACGTAATAAATCTTCTGATAACTGTTCTAAACTCATTGTAGCCAGTGGTCCTTCATCTATATTACAACCAGTCCATGGATCCCAATTTTGTTGTGGAGGAGACCAACTTACCACACCAGCAGGTTGTGGTACAGATGAAATAAAGTCATCCAGTACCTGATTTGTTAGTAAAGAAACAGCATTGGCAGATTGATCTTCATTTTCTTGTGCAGGTGGTTGCTATAAAAGAAAATAATATTTAAAACTACATGACACAACTTATAAAAATAAAGTTAGACACTAAAAATTACCTGAATTACTATGGTTGAAACTGGTGTTATATTTAAACTTAAAAGAACATCATGTATCTGAGTTACCAATTCTGGTGAGATTTTAACTGGATATGGTTTCATTTGTTCTGCTTCTTTATTTTTTTTCAAAGTACCATTAAATGCCTCAATAACACCAAGATGATATAATTGTCGGACAAGGGATAAAGCACAACTTTTTGATGCAGTTTGCTTATTTGAACCAGTTTCCCGACCAGTAATATCTAGAATTCATTTTCGTTAAAGTTTCCATATTACAAAGTTTTAATAAATGATCAGAGCATTATTCAACAACTTACTTCTTCCAAGTTGTTTTACATAAAATGTCATTTCAGCCATAAAGCTCCTATATATAAATTTATATCTTCATTATTAGTATTTTGTACATATTTTCATTTGTGGACGAAACAATATTATCACAACATGAATTCAACTTACACTTATAATTGTTCAAGACCACATTGGAGCACCTTGCATAGTAATTCATTGTGAGTGACTGCACCAGAACTCTTATTAAATCATTTCAATAAAAGTTCTGGTTAAACATTATCTCTATCTGTGTACAAGAGAAATAACCTTCTCTCTTGTACCAGCATTGAACATAAGTAAATAGTGTACTCCAAAATGGTCTTGTGGAATTTCGAATGATATACAAAGTACTCATGCATTTGCTTCTTATTGCGTTGAAATGTCTTTATAGTGTAATCTGTGACTTCAAGTGGAATTATGATATTGCAGTAACACGTCCACCAGTGCTAAAGTAAACACCTTATCGAAACAGTTCATACCTTGTATGATCTGGACCAAGTGGGGTATATTTATAATCAGTATTAATTTTATTAGATTGCATGAATTGATGAAGTTTTGATTTAGCATTTTCTATAGTCCAATTTCCATGAATACCAGAATTTACATCAACATCTTCTGCATCTTCCACTCTTTTCTGATCTGCTATTCTATCTATATAAGTATAATTGCCCTGACCATGTTCATTATATGCTCTGTAGGCTTGTCCTATATCATTAGGACCCATGCCATCTTGAAACACAGACTTTGTCGAAGGACTTTCACATTCTACTTTAATCATTGGTGCTACATTTTGTGGTTGTATATTGTTCATATCTCGTGGAACATCATTAGAATTTACATGTCCTGTACGGACTAAATAATTAACATAATCCCTAGCTGCATTGCCTTGAGCATCTTTTTTATTAGTAGAGTTCCCTGCACCCACATAATCAAATCCAGGTATGCGCAATTCGCAGAGGAATCGTTGCCGATGTTTCAACCCTTTTTTTATGTAAAGAATTTTTTATGAAATTTCATTTTTATAAAACTCTGAATGCTACACTGTTTAAAAAATATTTGTACAATACCTGTTGGTCTCACATCAAATTGTGGTTCTTTGCCATTTTTTGCACACCATTGATGTAAAAAAGATTTTATATCACCCATTTTTTATTTTTGTAATACCCTTAAAATAAGGTATTGGTTTTAAATAATTACTATACAGATATAGTTGATAATATAACCTACACCCGACATGAATTCATAAACACTGATTAAACGGCGTCTACCGGAAACAGAAGTTACTACTTACTAGTTACTGCAGCAGGCAAAAGATCGACTGCAGCGTGTTGATTTCAAATTATCAATAGTTTTATTTAATTAAATAGATACTCAAAATAAGCTAAATTTAAATCCAAGTATTTAAAAATATTTCAAATAACATAATGCACAATCGCAAACATGCCAAATATTGCTTTTACAGAATCGTTCCTAAATTGATTTTATATTTCTTCTGAAGTTAAGTTTTAAATAAACGTAAAAAACAGGACTTTTCTTTATCACATTACAAAAAATGTTAACACATAACCAAGATCAAATACCGATGATTTGCTGAATATATTGTCTGTTCATCTTTCGTAAAATTTAAGCTTTTATATACAATAGAATTGGAAAGCTTCAGGTCAATGTTTATTAACAATATTCATCTTCAAGACTCATAAAATCGGATATATGCATATTTGTACCATTAATATGTATCTACAAACAATTACATATACCGAATTTAAAATCACAAGTACAGGCAATTCAAACTATTAGCGGTAATTTAAAGTAATTTGAAGTTTTATTCATAGCTTTATGCTATCCTTTTGTTAATAAAAATATAATACAATTTAAAAAATTATTAGTTTATTTACATTGCTTTTATAAACATACTAATTTATGTATACAATTATAATTTAGTAGTTGCATTGAATTCATACTAAATATACATTGATACAAAAAGTTAAAATTAAATATAAAAATGTGAAAGACATATTAATAAGCTAATAACATGAAATAAAAGAAAGAAATAGTATAGAAGATATTTCAATGAGATTCATTACTGGTTGCACATACCTAATGGAAATATATAATATACAGTTATTCTGATTAAGTGACAACTAAACTCTCTGAAGAAATTAAATTATATTAGTCATAAAATATTGTTTGTTAACTGTATAAATATGGTAATAAAGTTTGTACTAAGTAAGTTATACACATACAAAATATATTTAATCTTTAGAGTACAAAGCTGAGAGACTTGCATCTTTGAAATGTACGAATTTTAATATACAGTGATGATTCCATACAATATTAAAATACCAACAAATATACATTAAACACATATTTTATTTTATATGATTTAACGAATTTTTAATGCTAGATCTTAGTGACTCCACATAATTGTTTATGTTTCAAATCTAGGCTCTGTACTTGAAAGATTATTTATAAAATTTTATATGTACTTCAAAATATTATTGGTAAAGGTGTTATGGCAGCAAGCCTCGATGATTGTGCGATTCTAGGACTTCTAGGTGATCTATGTAATTGTGACTGTGAAAACTTTGAAGGTGTTCCTGATGCTACACCTGAAGGAGTTAATAAATTTTTTCTTGTTGGTTTTACAGGTGTTCGTACTGGTGTCCTCAGTTTGGATTTAGTTGCATTGAATAATACCTGTTCTGATAACAAAGAGCTGCGCAACTCCTGTTTATCTTTCAAGTGTTCTTTAAACTGACTATAAGTTGTATCTGCTGAACTCTGAGACATTGAGTTCTCCTTCTGAGGGATTTTACTTGCAGATTGTGGTGTTTTCTTGGAAGCTTTAGCACTTTTTCGAATTTTAGATCCAGTACCTATTACAGATACATTTCTACGTTTGGCTGAAGAGTTTGGAGAAGAACTAAATAACAGTTTTCTCTTTGTGGAACTAACTGGTGTAGGACGACGAGTGCTCAATATAGTGGGGGTTTTCTTTGTTGAACTTGAAGCAGTTTTCTTGGAAGCACTTAATGTTGCCTTTTTTACTGATTTGTCTTTTGCTTCTTTTCTAGCCTTTTTTATTGTTTCTTTTTCTTCGTTCAGGTGTTCCCATGATTCTTGTAACACTTCTTCTATGGATATTCCATTTATGGTAAATACTTCACCATGCAAACTTTCATACTCTTTTATTAAGCTTCGAAGTTGCTCTTCTATTTTTGGCAATTTTTTCTGAATTGTTTTACGTTCTTTTTCTTCCATTAACAGCTGACCTCCACGATTATAAAAACGATCTGGATCATTTGCACGTTGCAGCAATTCTTTCATTTTTACCCATAAATTATCACGTTCTTCTAAGAGCTCAAAGATAGGCTTATTGGCTTCATAAAACTCTTGAACCCTTTTTACTTCCAGTTCATGTAAAGTTAATAAATCTTCTGTGTAGGTGTGAGAATTATAATGTACAAATTGTTTCTTTTGCTCTTCACTAAATTTACATAAATCCCATAATCTTGTCAACTCAGATCTCACTTGTGCTACATACTTAGCAATATTTTGTCTCCTCTTTTCTTTACATCGTTCTAATTCTGATGTTAATGCATTTATGGTTACTATGCTATATCCTGTATAGCTGTCAAGAAACGATTGACAAACATGTTCTGGTTCATCAAGATATTTCCATAATGCAATCAATTCCCGTTTAATATCTTCTGCGTGTTCCTTTGCTTCATCTGCTTGATGCTTAAGCTTATCTCTAAGTTCTCTCAATTTAGTCATATTGTTATTACTGAATACAAAATTCTCACTATCTTTAGATATTATGTGTTCAAAATTTGAAGATGGTGATATACCCATATCATCCATCATTTTAACAATTGCTCTACGCATTTCTTTGAAAATAGCTTCTAAACGATTTTTCTCTGCTTCTTGTTTTTCCAAATAAAGTTTAAAACTGTTAAGTTCTTCCTCCGAAGGTAATTTTTCTTCTATATTAATTGGTTGTGTACCCAATATCTTACAAAGAGACCTTTCCTTTGCAAGCAGTTCCTTTAAATGTGTCAGACGTTGTTCCTTGCAGTATTGCAATTTATGCAGATCAGTGAGTAGCACTTGTTCTACTTCCTTCAGTGGTAAATTTTCATATCCACTAATTACTACGTCTGTTCCCAATTCTTTCGTTAACACAGCAATTTGCTCCATTAATTTTTTAACGTTATCTAAAATCGTCTTTTTCTTCAATTCTGATTCTGAAACCATATCATTTAACAGATCATTTAAATGATTGAATACTTGCTTGCAATATATATTCCGAGTTTCTTCACTGAATCCTATTTCTTCCCATACGTTGTGTAAATGGGATAACGCATTTCGGAGTTTTACAATAGTCTCCTGTACTATTGGTTCCCATTTAGGTATGTTAGACATTGTTGTATCTCTGCTTTACACGTTTTAACGCAAAATTACAAAGCTTAACTTTCAATACAACAACTGGTAAACTAATCTTACATTTACTTAAGTATTTAAGACCTAACACGCGCGTAAATAAGACAGAACAAACTTTACTCGTCCAGACACGATCAACCGTTGTTCTTTTGAATTTATATTTCTACTACAGCGCCACCACTACCAACATATTGTGCGGTCAGTTTCTATTGGTTTGAAGCAAGCTTTGTAACCAACATCGACACATGCGCAAAGAGTAGATGTAACAAGAGGCGACACTAAATAAAGAAACTTACTTTTTAAAAAGAGACAGAGGACACGACCAATTTAAATGGCCAAATAAAAAGAATCGGAGATGCGCATGTGCATAGTGTATGGCGGTCAAAAAAGAATGGTTTGAATCTGCCTATTCACCAGTAACTTATTTGTAATAAATATTTTGCTGTACCTCATTTTTTTATGAGTTATTTGTAACAATCATTTCTATAACACATCATCAAATATATTTTGTAGATCAATTTTAGTACATTCTCCCCTGTTTCAATTTTTCCACGCCGTAAAATTGATAAAAATAGCTGAAAAGACAATATTAGTAATGTCCAGAAAATTTACTAAATATATTCTAAATTATTAAAGACTGACCTGAAAGTAGGTTTGCTCGACTTAAATTTCCCGCTTGTGTGTACCTCAGCGCTTTCAAGAGATCAAAGGTGCTGCCTCTGGTTTACTCTGTGGTTTCCTGCCTTATCTGTTGTCATCTAGTTCTGCAAAATTATACATTTTATTATAACATTCGTAAATATAGATTTGGATAAGTCTGGAATTTGTAATATATGCTTACTCCCAAACATTTTCGTAAAAGAAAATGTGGAACAAATGAAATTATAATTTAATTCGTAGCTATTAGCTCGATATCGTTTTCTAAAGTTCATCTTTATAAAAATGTTTAGAAAACAATATCGATTACCAGGTCACACCACGTGGAGGTTGCTACGATAGTAACCCACCCTAACTCCAAATCCCTTCCACCCTCCAAATGCAACCTCATTTATCAGAAGGATAAATGAGTTCTAACTCTACTTAGCTCATAAGCTCACATATACAAGTTCTTTACCACAATCCAGTAAAGAACTTGTATCACAC